CAAGCGAGAGGACCCCGGGTTCAATTCCCCGGCGGGTCAGGGCGAAACCGTAGGGCAGGTTTCCTCACTCCACGCCCGCCCCTCTGTTTACCTGTCAGGAAGTAGGAAAGCACCCGGTTGTTAAGTCGATTGGCGGAACACTTTCCGGGGGGTCATAAAATAAGAAGAAATTGCTCGCTCAATCCCCGACTGTTGGTGGGACACTGCCGTGCGCAACTGGCTGCCGCGTTTCGCCCACAAGGTATACAATTGTATTCCGTGAAGCGCTTTGAGATGTCTCAAGCACTTGATAAGGCGCTATATCCGATGCAAGGATTATTAGTAGTAGTTTGACAGGCTGTTCAATTTGGTGACTGCTTTACCTCTCTGGATTAAAAACTTTATTCCACTATGACGGCAAAAAACCCACAGCCTGCATCCACTCTCTTCTCTCTCCTTCTGTACCCCCCCCCCCCACCCCTCTCTCCAAGCTCCCCCTCAATTTCCATCCTCTCCCTCCCTCCCTCCCTCCCTCCCTCACACACACACCTCACCCCACCCCTACCAGACAGTTTTTAAAAACTTACACTCTTTCGGTGTCAATGCTGAAGTTAAAATAATAATACTAAGAATCTTTGCATTTGCCATTTTGTTCTAGACCATAGCAACTCGCTGCGTAAAAATATTTCTCCTAGTTTCCCCTCTGGTTCTTTTGCCAATTATCTTAAGTCTGTGTCCTCCTATTAACGACCCGGTTGCCCACCAGTGGAAACAGTTTTTTCTTAGCGACTCTATCAAAACCCCTCAAGTTTTAAATCTCCCCTTAACCTCCTCTGCTCTGGGGAGAATGATCCCATCTTCTCTAATCTTTCCACATAACTGAAGTCCCTCAACCCTGGTAACCCTATAATAATCCAATTTCCAAACCCAATGGCTGGTTTCTGTCTCACTGCCGGACAGTTTGAAATAACTTTGAAACTTTGTGCATTTGATGTTATTTTTTAATTAAGCAATAGGCAGACACTCCAATTCAAGGGATTGTACCCAAGAGATCTAATAATAATCCTTGCATTTGATATAGTGCCTTATCACATCTTCTAGAATGTCTCAAAGCACTTCACAAAATGCACTGTTTTGACTGTATATTTGTGGGCAAAACGCGGCAGTCAATTGCACACAGCAGCGTCCCACAAACAGTCGTGGGTTGAGTGACCAAATTATTATTTATTTTTTNGAAGGATTATTTTTTCCCCGGAAAAGCGATCCGCCAATCAACTATCAACCGGGTTCCTTCTTACCGCTGGGTAAACAGAGGCGTGTGCGTGGAGTAAGGGAACTTGCCCAAAATTTCGCCCTGTCCGGGAATCGAACCCAGGTCCTCTGGCTTGAGAGGCGAGTGCTCTAACCACTGAGATCTCCGCTCCGAAAACAATCCCGTATTCCCAAGTCAACTTCACAGAAAACCCTTTTTTTTTCAAAAAAAAAAGAACGGGATTTCTCAATCCCGTTATCCGCGAGCCCCAAAGTCAAGGGAAAGGAGGCAGACACTCAACAAAGGCAACAGTGCAACACTGAGAGGGGACGTCACACTTGAAGGAACACAACGGCATCACAGGACTTGTTCTTTAACACCACCAGGGTCATCTTTTAATGGTAGCAAAATACAGGAGAACACAGGGCAGGGTAGGTACACATCACAAAACAACTTTGCTGTTCAAATCAAACCTGTTAAAAAAAAAAAATGTTTGGGATTCCAACCAAGCTGCGTTGTTGAAATTCAGAACGCACACCCTCCCCTTCCCCAAACATAAAAGCGATAATAATCCTTGCAATTGACAGAACGCCTTATCACGTTTTCGAGACGTTTCAAAGCGCTTCACAGAATATACTCTAAAGTGTAGTGACTGTGCATTTTGTGGGTGAAATGCGGCAGCCGATTGCGCACAGCAGCGTTCCACAAACAGCCGTGGATTGAGTGACCAAATTATTATTATTATTTTTTGAAGTGATTTTTTTTTGAAGGGATTGAGACTAGGGTTGCAGTTTGGATCCCATCGCTAGCCGTCTGTTGCTGATATACAGTAAAACTCGCATAAGTCTGATCTGAATAAAATCGAATAATCGCCTGAGTCGTACATCTGCCCAAGTCACGTTACTGAATTTATATTATATAGTGGAGTCCTGCACTATAGTGGTTAGAGCACTCGCCTTGCAAGTGAGAAGACCTAGGTTTGATTCCCAGGCAGGGTGAAACATTGGCTAAGTTTCCTTACTCCACACACCTACTGTTGACCTAGCAGTAAATAGGAACCTGGTTCTTAGTCGATTGACGGTTTGCTTTCCGTGGGGGCAATAATCCCTTCACAAAAAACAAATAATAAATTGGTCACTCAATCCACGGCTGTTTATAGGACGCTGCTGTGCTGCCGTGTTTCGCCCACAAAATATAGTCAATTCACTCTATAATATAGTTATTCGGTGAAGTGCTTTGAGACATCTCGAAGACATGATTCGCTGATAAATCAAATGCAAGTATTATCATCAGTGGTGTATTCTAAGCAAGTTGACATCACTCATACTTGGCATAAGTCGTATTAAATGTATGGTCCCAACTTATGTGAGGTTCACTGTATATAGAAGTGGTCCCCTCTTCCCCCAATGGAGACCTGTCATTGTTGTCGCTGGGATCTTCCACCAATGCCTTCCTCACTACAGACAGTTTTTTTGTCTTGTCGCTTTACATTACTGATTATTGAGCAAAATATTCTCCTCTAACCCTCCTCGTTCTTCCTTTGGCCGACTGTATATGTAAAACACACAAAAAGCACAGACTGAGTGACAAAGATATATTCATTCCTCTTATGTCAGATGAATGACATCCACATATTCCCCTTAGCTACCAATCAATCAATCACTCAATAAATAAATCAATATATAATCCTTGCATTTGATACAGCGCCTTATCACGTCTTCGAGACGTCTCAAAACGCTTCACAGAATATTCCGTAAAGTGAATCGACTCTGTATTTTGTCGGCGAAACGCGGCAGCCAATTGCGCACAGCGGCATCCCACAAACAGTCGTGGATTGAGTGACCAAATTATTATTATTTTTCTTTTGAATAACCTTGCTGTACCTTAGAACACTACAGGGCCATTGCCGGAGCAGACTGCAGAGCTGTACCCCACACTCTCAGGAAAACCGTAACGGTGTTTTGTACGAGCCTTGTGATTACGTCCTGTGAGTTGTGCTCTATCCCTACACCGTGGCATGCCTTTCTCGCCACTTCAACGTCAACAACTTGTATTTATATCATACCCTTCACGTGGGGTAGGGTCCCGGAGCACTTGACAGTGGTGGAGTCTGACCCCGAGCCAGGGGGAGAGGGAGGGGGGGGAAGGTGACGCACGATCAAACAAGGAAGGTCTTTAGGCGGGATTTGAAAGTGGGGAGGGAGGGGGCGAGGCGGAGGGATTGAGGGAGAGAGTTCCAGAGTTTCGGGGCGTGGAGGCTGAAGGTGCAGCCACCGATGGTGGAGCGGAGGAGGGCGGAGATGGACGAACAGGGGAGGCCGGAGCGTAAGATTAAAAACACTGTGCTGGAGGTTTCACGGATCCCCCTACCAGTGTCTTCTCCTGGCAAAGGAGCAACTGGAGGAGAGCAGTTTAATGGTACGAAACACATTTACAACAGAAGAGTGCAGCCTAAGGAGACACGAGACCAGCATGAGTTATTAGCAAAGGAGAGGCAAAAGGAACTGAGGGAACTATCATGCTCAGCCATATTTCCTCTGCTTTCCTCAGTAGGAATCACCTTCAAAGCCCTCCACGGAGTTGCTCCCCATCACCCACCTCTCCGACCTCCTAACCCCACATCAGCCTGTCCGCTCCCTCTGCTTGTCGGACACCGGCCTGCTTCAGGTCCCCCGCACTTCCCACCACCACTGGTGGTCAGGTATTCAGCCTCTCTGCCTCCACACACTCTGGAACTCTATCCTGTAATCCCTCCGCCTCACCCCCCTCTCTTGTCTCCTTCAAATCCCGTCTAAAGACCTTCCTCTTCAAAAGTGCCTTCAACCAACCTCCCACCACCCACCCCACACTGCCCTCCACCCCTCCTGACACCTAACTCCCAGCTCGGGTCCACAAAACCCCCAACTGTCCGGGGCCCTGGGAAGATCTTTCCGACGTGAAGGGCGCTGTACAAGTGTAATTTGTTACTGCTGTTGTTTAAGACCATAAGACAGGTCCAGATGAACACAGCTCCATGGCCCATTTGATCTCAACCTTCCAGAATGCCCACGTCTTGCACTCTCGTGCAGCGACTCGGTTCAGTTGACCAGATCAGTGAATAAGAGACTTGACGAGGACTAGTCTGTAAACCCACCGCCTGCTCTACAGCACATAAAACCGTCCCCAAGTCAAACATTTCACTGCCCAGAGGCCAAGGTTGCAATAGCACCATTCTGACAGGAACAGTGACTATCGAGGGTAAAGGCAAGAGATACAACTCCACAGAATCATAGAGTATTACAGCAAGGAAGGAGGCCATTCGGCCCATTGTGCCTGTGCCGGCTCTTTGGAAGAGCTACCCAATCAGTCCCCACTCCCTCCTCCCGCTCGTTCCCACATATCTTTGCAAATTTTTCCTCTTCAAGTACCAATCCAATTCCCTTTTGAAAGTTGTTATCGAATGGGTTTCCACCGTGAATTCCATACCCTCATATTCTGTGCAAAAAATAAATATGAAAAACAAAATTCTCCTCATCTCCCCTCTGGTCTTTTGCCAACTCTCTTAAATCTACGTGCCCTTGTTACTGACCCACCCGCCCATCCACCAGTGGAAACAGTTTCTCCTTATCCACTCCATCACAGGATACAATATCCCTGTATATAAAATAAGATATTTTTTTCATGGGTGGGGACGGGGACAGAAGATAAACAAAAGAGTTGGGGCTTATCTATTGTGACCGCTTAACCGGGAGGGAAGAGGGGAAAATAAACGTTGTGCGAGCAGTCATACCGCTTGTAGGGCAGCTTCAGGACCTCGGTCTTCAAACTCAGCGGCTGCTTTGGAGATTGCCTTGGCCGTGTCCTCCTCACACACCTTGTTTGGTTCCGTCGGCGACGGCTGCTCTAAGTATTCCAGCTCTTTCGCTGGCGCTGAAATAGACGGAATAAACCATACGTTTGCAGGTGCAATAACAATAATAATAATCATCATAATAATAATTTGGTCACTCGATCCACCACCGCTTGTGGGACTCCTGCTGTGCGCAATTGGCTGTCGCGTTTGGCCCACCAAATACTTTATGGTATATTGTGCGAAGCGCTTTGAGACGTCTCAATGATGTGCTAAGACGCTACATCAAATAGTAATATTATTATTATTAACACACTTATGCTGGGTGGGTGGTGGGGATGGTTGGGGAGGCTGGCGGGTCAGGTAAAGAGGACAGCAGGTAAGAGCATATTTCAAATCCTCTCAGGAACATCACCCCACCCCCCCCACCACACACGACCATGAAAAAGATTACACTAGCACCTGATTTTACAGGAAAGGTACAACAACAACTTACATTTATACACCCCTCATGCAGTGTAGCGCACCAGAGATAGACCCAAAATCATCCAGGAGTGGGTCTGCAGTATTCCAGGGCGCTCACTGCTGATGACAGCGCAGCCCAGCCTGGCTCATCGGCAGGACCTGGAACTGGGGACCAGAGAGGCATCCCACTCAGCTCCTGTTAACCCTGCAAACCAAAGCCCTAACTAACGGGAAGGGTGGTCCTAGCTGGACAAGCAGCAGGAAAGCTTGCCAGGCAGTGATATCAATGGTTTTAGCTGGTCAGACTCCAGCAGTTACCTGGTGGATCCCCCAAGCCTTGGGTCTTGCCAACCTGCACCAAATACTTGCTGGAATTAGGAAAGCAGGATGCCTCCCCCCAGGGGGAGAGAGAGAGAGAGAGAGAGAGAGAGAGCATTCCATTCCAACAATCTATCTCTGGGATTTCCACTTGTAGGTGGGATGGCATGGAATTCTCAGCTTGGTTTGGAGATAGATGGGTTTCCGGACGGACTGAGGCTTATCTGGGACATCGGGATTGGAGCTTGTAAGGAAGTCAAGGCTGGAGATTATCTCACAGCCTGGACTGTAAGCGACGTCGGTTTCGATCCCACAAACCTCCTGTCCTCCAATGATGAGAGTCCTAGCGTCTGAGCCAGGCTACGTGACAATGTACTACAAAGCACAGAGGAGTAGAGTGTCATCTGCTCTTGCACTGACCTGAGGTAGAGGTTCCTGCGGGTTCCCTTTGGTTGGTGTCGATTAACATCTTGTCCTGTTGGGCTCGCTTCACCTGTTGTACGTCCCACTCCTCCAGCTCCTTCTCGAACTTCCTGTTGTCGTCTTTGACATATTCCTTCAGGTCTGAAGGCAGTGTGTCCATTCCAGTCAACACCTGCCCTGTCTCTTTATCAAATTCCTCTACAAGATCACAAGATTAAACTGGTTTATACCACAAACAGTTTCAGATGTAAAGACATTTGATGTAGAGCCTTATCACATCTTCGCGACGTCTCAAAACACTTCACAGAATATACTGTAAAGTGAATTGACTGTATGTTTTCTGGGCAAAAACATAGCAGCCAATTGCACACAGCAGCGTCCCACAAACAGTCGTGGATTGAGCGACCAATTTCTTATTTGCTTTTTGAAGGGTTATTACCCCTGGAAATGCGAACCGCCAATCGACTAACAACCGGGTTCTTACTTACTGCTAAGTAAACAGAGGCGCGTGGAGAAAGGGAGCTTGCCCAACGTTTCGCCCTGCCTGGGAATTGAACCCAGGTCCTCTCGCTTGCGAGGCGAGTGCTCTAACCACTGAGCTGCAACAACTTTCTGACCCAGAGGCAACAGCACTGTGGACTGGGCCAAACGGACATCAATCTACATAGAATTACATGGGAGTATACTCAGCACAGAAACAGGCCATTCAGCTCAACTGGTCTATGCTGGGATCAGCCTCCTCCTGCCCTTCCTCAACTAACCCTATCAGCATAACCTTCTATAGGAGTCCTATAGCTCAGATGTTGGAGCACTCGCTTTGCAAGCGAGAGACCTGGGTTCTATTCCCGCCAGGGCGAAACCCTGGGCAAGTTTCTTTACTCCACACGCTTGATAATAATCCCTCAAGAAAAAAAAAATTTGGTCACTCAATCCACAACTGTTTGTGGGACGCTGCTGTGTGCAATTGGCTGCCGAGTTTTGCGCACAAATATACACTTAATTCACTTTACAGTATATTCTGTGAAGCGCTTTGAGACGTCTCGAAGAGGTGAAAAGCGTGGTATCAAATGCAAGGATTATTATTATTGATTCCTTTCTTCCTCATGTACGTATCTAGCTTCCCCTTAAATGCCTCTATGCTATTCACCTCAAATACTCCTTGTGGTAGCAAGTTCCACATTCCCACCACTCTCTGGGTAAAGAAGATTCTTCTGACTTCCCTATTTGATCTATTTGTGACTATTTTATGTTGATGGTTCCTGGTTTTGGTCTCCCCCACAAGTGGAAACATCTTCTCTATTTCTACCTATCAAAACCTTTCATAATTTTAACGACCGCTATCAGGTCACAGCTCACACGGCTCTTTTCAAGAGAAAAGCTTCCCTTTTCAAGCTTGTTCAGCCTTTCCTGATAGGTGCAACCTAGCATTTCTGGTATCACCCTTGTAAATCTCCTTTACACCTTCTCCAGTGCCTCTATATCCTTCCTATAACATCGGGACCAGAACTGTACACAGTACTCCAAGTGTGGTCTAAGCACTTCGATAGAAGTTTACCTCTAGAAATGAACCCTAATGCTTGGTTCGCATTTTTTTTACGGCCTTATTAACCTGCATCGCTAGTTTTAACGGTTTGTGTATGTGTACCCCTAGGTCCCTCTGTTCCTCTACCCCATTTAGATTTTTATTTTCCAGGCAGTATGTGACCTCCTTGTTCCTCTTACCAAAATATACCACCTCACACTTATCTATATTGTGCCACATTGTACAGCTTTTGCAACGAGGAATGAGTAATTATTAGCTCATACGGTACCTTCTATTAGATATCGTTCTGTATCATTTATGTACATTAAACAGTATGCACTGGCGTTCCTGTAACCACCAAACGAGTCCCGCTCTAGCTCTTCCCAGGAGGATTTGGTAACAGCTATGTCATTATATTTCATCCATCTCTCGTGGTGGTGATCATAAATATAAGCCCAGTAATGCCCAGCATTTGCCTGGCCTTCGTGAACCAAAACTGCGTGTAATCGGTAAGGAACCTAGAACACAAAGAGAAGATTACTACAAGAAAGGGTCTATTGTGTATATATATATCTCTACTTTAAATATGGTAAAAAATACAACGACAAATTTTAATTGTAAATAATAATATAAATCTTGCATTTTATCTCGCAACTGCAATAATAACTAGGACAATCATCATAATAATCCTTGCATTTGATATAGCGCCTTATCACGTCTTCGAGACGTCGCAAAGTGCTTTACAAAATAGACTGTGAAGTGAATTGACTCTTTATTTATGAACGATAGCCAATTGAGCACAGCAGATTTTTGTAGATGAATTTGTAATGAATTTACACACAACACAGCAAGGTTTTGCAAATAATCATAGTAATACAAAACTTTGTCTTGGAGATTGTGCTCAGTACACAGGAAAAATTGCCTTCTCTTCAAATAATATTGCGGGATTTTTAACAGCCACCTGAACAGCTAAACAGGCCATTGGTTTAACCTCTCCTCAAAGGACGGCATCTCTGAGAATGCACCCATTCTCTCTGCGAGGTGTTCGGGATGATGAAGGGTTTCGATAAGAGTCAAAAGGGAGAAACTCTTTCCATTGGCAGGTGGGTCAGTAACCAGAGGACACAGATTTAGGATAATTGGCAAAAGAACCAGAGGGGAGATGAGACGAGGAGAGTTTTTTTTACACACAGAGAGTTGTTACAGTCTGGAATGCACTGCTTGAAAGGGTGGTGGAAACAGCATCAATAATTTTATTTGAGGGATTGTCATCCAGGACATCGGGAGGAATGCACTTCTCTTTTCAAACTATGCTTAATAACAATAATAATCCTTGCATTTGATACAGCGCCTTATCACATCGTCGAGACGTTTCAAAGCGCTTCATAGGATAAACTGTAAAGTGTAGTGATGGTGTATTTTGTGGGGAAAACGCAGCAGCCAATTGCGCAGAGCGACGTCCCACAAACAGGCCACTTCAAAGGCAAACTGACTCTCCAACACTGCAGCAGATCCCCCCCCCCCCCCACCCCGAGCAATGCAATGGAATGGCACTCCTGACGTGGGACTTGAACTCTCAGCCCCTGACTCAGAGGTGAGGCTGCTTCAAACTGAGCCAGGCTAACTCACGTGTATGGAGGAAATTGAAGTGGCCCTTATTTCTGAAACTAACAACCCAAGACTAGCCATTGCTATCAAATCCTCTTCACTTCAGCAGCAATTGTGTCAGCCTGATGCTCCCCACAACCAACAACAACTTGTATTTATACAGCGCCACACACACTCACATGAAGTAGTGTCTCGGAGCGCTTGAGTGGCGGAGTGTGACAACGAGCCGTGGGGAGAGGGGGGAGGAGACCGTAAGCACTATCAAAAAGGAAGATCTTTACGTGATTTGAAAGTGGGGAGGGAGAGAGGGCAAGGCGGAGGGATTGAGGGAGAGAATTCAAGCGTTCCGGGGCGCAGTGGCTGAAGGCACGGCCACCGATGGTCAGGCGGAGGGGGACAAGGGACGAACAGGAAGCCGGAGCCAGCCGAGCGGAGGCAGCGGGTGGTGAAGTGGGAGTGGGCAAAGCGCTGCCTACAGGCATCTGGTGTCTCCCATCACTGACCTGCATCATGGTCTTGTCGGCATACATCATATCGATGGTGCGGTGAAGTCTGCCGATGCTCTCCTGCAAATCTGCAACATGAGAGGGGGGAGACCGTCAGCGCCATTGAATGTGAACAGAAGGCATCGCAGAAAGCTTCCAAGTCACTGCACCTCAGGAAGGATACAGTCGCTCTGGATGAGGTGCAGCGTAGATTCACCAGAACGATACCAGGGCCTAAGGGTTTAATTTACGAGGACGGGCTACATAGACTTGGGTCTCTATTCCTTTGAGTTTGGAAGGTGAGGGGTGGTCTGATTGAGGGGTTTAAATAATAAAGGGATTTGTTAGGGGAGATACAGAGAAACTATTTCCTCTGGTGGGTGGTGGCGGTGGTGGGGGGGGGGGGACGGGGGGGACATCAGCTTAAAATTAGAGCCAGGCCATTTAGGAGTGAAATCAGGAGGCAGTTTGTCACCCAAAGGAGAGTGGGAATCTGGAACTCTCTCCCCACATCGTGCTCCTTGTCACATCGTGGCGACGTCTCAAAGCGCGTTGCGGATAAACCGTAACTCGAAATGACTGTATACTTTGTGGGCGGAAAGCAGCAGCCGATTGCAACTTTTCTTTTCGAAGGGATTAATTGTTACACTCCTCCGATCGACTAACAACCGGCTTCCTATTTTTACCGCCAGGTGAACGGAGGCGCGCAGGCGTGTGTGTGTGGTGTGTGCGTGCGTGGCGCGTGTGCACGTGTGGCGTATGGCATGTGTATGCGCGTGTGGAGTGAGAAAATTTGACCAAGGTTTCCGCGCCGCCCGGGTACCGAGCGCACGTCCTCTCGCCTTGCGAGTCGAGCTCTACAAACGGACGCGCGCTTACGGGGCTGCGTGGCAAAGCGCGACGTTACGAGCGTCGAGGCCAAGCAGGAGGGACACCGTACCCCGCGTGTCGTTCTCCACCTCCGTCCTCCAGCGGTGCAGGCAGCCCTCCAGCACCCGCAGCTCGTCCTCGGTGATGTGCCGGGGGGCGGGGTGCATCGGGATCTCGGGCAGGATCCGCGACTGCGTGAAAGGTTTGTGGACCACCGACCGCTGGATAGGGGAGGTGCCGGGCGCGTCCGTGGGGGCCAGGGATCCTGGCTGTTCTGTCGAGCTGCAGGAGCTAGAAAGCAAGATAGTTTGGGCAGTCAGCTTTAACACCGTGCTGACTGACACACGTGGAAATCCATCGACGACGACAACAACTTGTACCTGCACAGCGCCCCGTCACTCATGCAGGGCAGCGTCCCAGAGCGCTTGACAATGACTCCGAGACGGGGGGGGAGGGAGAGGGGGAGGTGACCGCAGGTACGGTCGAAGAGGAAAGGCTTTCAGGCGGGACCCGCAGATGGGGAAGGAAGGGAGCGAGGCAGAGGGATAGAGAGAGAGCGTTCAAGAGTTTCAGAGCGTAGTGGCTGAAAGCGCTTAATCTTAAGGTCGAGGTGGGGTCTTGAACCCACGACGTTGTTATGCCTCCCGAGTCTGAAGGTTGTGAGTTCACGAGTCACCTCGTGACTTTGGTCTGGACGAGGTACCATCCTTCGGGTGAGACGTCAAACCGAGGTTTGTATCTCCTTCTCTGATGCCTTAAATTGAATCTGGACCTGTGGCTTTGTGACTGTGGGCTTAACAATAATAATCCTGGCATTTGATATCGCCCCTTATCACCTCTTCGAGACGCCTCAAGGCGTTTCGTAGATTATAATCTATAATTATAATTCGATAATCTATCTCTGGGATTTCCATGTGTAGGGGGGGCTGCGTGGAATTCTCAGTTCGGTTGGGATACTCTTAAGAATGGTGATGGGTTTTGGCACGTGTCGGGCACCCGGCTGACCAAAAAAAGGATATTTCCATCCATCTATTCCTTCATCATGGCTCATTGGCTATTTGATTTCCTTTCTTCCCAAATACCAGCATCCAGTCTCTGCTTCATGCAGAACCCAACAGCATTGATACATGTGACAGTTTGGGTAATAATAATCCCTCCAAAATAAAACAATAATAAATTGGTCATTTTCAATCTACGACTGTTTGTGGGACATTGCTGTGCGCAATTGGCTGCCGCGTTCGCCCACAAATATAGTCAATTCACTTTACAGTCTATTCTGTGAAGCGCTTTGGGACGTCCTCCCGACGTGAAAAGCGCTATATCAAATGCAAGGATTATTATTATTATTATTATACTGTAAAGTGAATTGACTGTATATTTTGCCAAATGCGCACATCAGTGACCCCACAGTCGTGGATTGAGTGACCAAATTATTAGGGGAGGGTGATGTGAGGAGGTGGTGGGTCGTGGAGAACAGGATTTTAGGGGGTTTTTTGGCTTCAAGAATAACCTGCCAGTTGAAAGTGGTTTTGTCTTGAGAGGGAGTGGAGGTAGTTGCGAAGATGCTCAAGAAACGGTTGCCGATGAACAGCAAGGCCGGTTTTGTGCCATCTGCGCTTGAGCGACCATGTTTGGGATTTGAGGGAATGGAGTGAGTGGGTGGGCTTGCAGACGGACCTGGTTTTCAGGGGGACGAGGGAACTGAAGGATGAGGAGAAGCGATCGTTTAGCAGCTTGACAGCTGCGTCTGGATCACCGCAGGTGGAAGGCCAGAAGGAGAGAAGGTCGGAGGATGGGAGGGCGTTTTTGAGGGACTCGGGGGAGCGGGATGCTTTTTCCATGGGCAGAAAAAGATGGTGGAGAGTCTTGGAGGAGGGGAGGGTGATGTGAGAGGGGAGAGGAAATGGTCTGGGATGTCCTTGTCTATGATGGACAGATCAGAGATCATGTCTACGTTAAGGGCGCTCTATAAAAAGTTGTTGTTGTATTTATCTGGAGGATTGTTGACCTGCACGGCAGGAAAAATTGTTCTCTTTTCGAATAGAATCAAGAGATCTTTACGATACTCAATTTAACATCCAACAACAATAAGGATAATAATCCTCCCATTTGTTATAATGCCTTATCATGTCTTCGAGACGTCTCAAAGTGCTTCACAGAATAGACTATAAACTGAATTCACTGTATATTTTGCGGGCGAAACGCGGCAGCCAGTTGCGCACAGCAGAGCCCCACAAACAGTCGTGGATTGACAATACAACGCTACCCCCTAACCCGGCCGCGGAGAATTCTGCTGTAACTGTGGGTGGAAAAGGATCTGATATATGTTCAATGGTTCGTCACCGCAGCACACACCTTTCTTGTCTCGCCGTGGTCTGTGGGGGTATCGCGCTGCTGAGGGGAGCGGGTTCCACATCTTCTACCGGCGAGGTGCACACAGGCTTGCTGGAGGCGAACTCCAGGGCGTACTGCAGTACATCCGCCAACGGGAACCGTTTGGGGCCCGAGCCATAGCTTAAATACCTGGGAGGGATACAAAATAATAATAATATTAAACCTTGCATTAGATACAGTGCCTGATCACACATCTTCGGGGCAGTCGAGACATCTCAAAGCGCTTCACGGAATACACTGCAAAGTGAATTGGCTGTGTGTTTTGTGTGCGCAATAGACCTCAAAAATGGATAAGGGATTTCAGAAAAATCAAGGGCGTCCGAATTCTCTCGTGATCCCTTCTGCTTCAAGAGCAACAAATACAAATTAAGATCCTGCGGAATTTGGGAATGCCGTCTTAATCAGGAATCTGCGTAAAAATGACTCCCAAATAATTAAGATTGAATATAAGTCTTTTGTCCCTAAATTTCACGTAATCTTAAATTTAATAATACTAATAATAATCCTTGCATTTGGCATAGCGCCTTTATCAAGTTGTTGAGACGCTTCACAGTTTAAATGAATTGATTGTGCATTTTGTGGGACAAACGCGGCAGCCAACTGCGCACAGCAGAGTCCTACAAACCGGTGGATTGAGTGACCACATTTTTTTGGGGCAGGATTATTACCTCTGGAAAGCAAACTGTCAATAAATAACAACAGGCTTCCTACTTACTGCTAGGTAAACAGAGACGTGTGGAATAAGGAAACCTGCCTAAGGTTTCTGATACACGAAAGATCAACTGTGCCATAGACAATTCTACAATATACCAAAGTGTGCCTGCAGATAGATACTTGGGACTTGGTAAGGGTATTTAATAAGAGGCATGGAGAAAAGGCAAGGAAATGGGATTAAAAGATTTGCCTCGAAATATTGAGATTAAACCCATTGGGAGTCCTGCAGCTCAGTGGTCAAGAGCACTCGCCTCACAAGCGAGAGGGCCTGGGTTCGATTTCCAGGAGGGCAAACCGTTGGTAAAAGTTTCCCTAGGCCACACACCTATTCACTTAGTATTAAGTAGGAAACTGTTTTTTTAAGTCGGTTGGCGGATTGCTTTTCCTGGGATAATAATTTGGTCGCCTAATCCACCGTGGGACGCTGCTGTGCACAATTGGCTGCCGCGTTTCGCCCACAAAATGTACAGTCAATTCACTTTACAGTATATTCTGTGAAGCGCTTTGAGACGTCGCAAAGTCTCGAAATGCCAGGATTATTACTCTTGTTGGGCAGCTTTAATTAAGACGAGCCAGTTTGCCTCGGGCGAGTATTTCCTTCCTGAAGGTCTGGTTCCCATCCGTACCTTTCCAAACGTTGCTGCAATACTGTGAGGTGCTCCTTCAGGCGCCGTATCTCCTCCCGTTTGATGCGTGTGATCTCCCGGTTTCTGTCCATATACCTGTGTCAACAGCAAAGCCACAGCATTTAGAACATTAGGGACGTGGAATGTTAACAGCATGGAAGGAGGCGATCCTGATGGGGTTGGTTCTTTTGGATTAAAAAAAAACTAATCATTTAGTCTCATTCCCCAGGAAAGATTTGTTTAACCGAGAAGGTTGAGAGGAGACTTGATAAGAGGTGCTCAATTTGACAACAACTTGCATTTATATAGCGCCCTTCAAGCGAGGTAGGGTCCCGGAGCGTTTGACAGTGGCGGAGCCTGACCCCGAGCCAGGGGGAGAGGGAGTGGGGAAGGTGACCGTAAGCACGATCAAAAAAGGAAGGTCTTTAGGTGGGATTTGAAGGTGGGGAGGGAGGGGGCGAGGCAGAGGGATTGAGGGAGAGAGTTCCAGAGTTTCGGGGTATAGTGGCTGAAGGCATGGCCAACCGATGGTGGAGCGGAGAAGGGGGCGAGGGACAAACAGAAGGCAGGAGCCGGCTGAGCGGAGGGTGGAATGGGGGGTAAGCAGGTCGGACAGGTGGGGAGGTGCGAGTGAAATCCATAAGGTAAATAAAAAGAAACCTTTTCCAGTCAGTGAATCAGTAATTAGAGAGTTTCATCTTAGCAGTATCCCCAAAAAAGAGAGGTTAGGAATTTTTTTTAGAAATGCACACACAAGGTTACTGGGACATTGAAAGTCCGGCTAAAAACGCTGGTTGAAGCAAAATTTGTAAGCTTTAAAAATGAGGACAATCATCATTATAACCCTTCCATTTGATACGGCTTCTCATCACGCCTTCGAGACATCTCAAAGCGCTTCACGGGATACACCGTAGAGTGAATTGACTGTGTATTTTGGGGCCGAAATATGGGAAAGGAAAAATATAAAAAAGAGGATGGCCGACCAAAGCACGAGAAGAATGATCACTGCACATTATAAATGCACAGAACTGCAGAAAGACTTAAAAATCAGGTGCTGGAATAAGACCGAGTTTGCAAAGGCAACAAAGTAGACAACAGCCACTCCAATTTTAGATCCAAGGAGTTTTTAAAAATAATAAAAAAGTACTAAGTCAGTCAGACTGCAGATATACTCAGGGGATTATAAACATCAGATGGTTAACCTTCATTCAGTTCTTTGTGTTACCATCTATTTTGTGTACAGTATGGTTTCAGCTGCTTACATAAGCCTGCTGTGCGTATACAACAACAACAAAATTACAAGCCCTGGATATGATAATAATAATAATCCTTGGACTTGTTATAGCGGCTTATCACATCTTTTAGACGTTTCAAAGAGCTTCACAGAATATACTGCAAAGTTAATTGACTGTATATTTAGGGGGTGAAACACGGCAGCCAATTGCACACAGCCGCGTCCCGCAAACAGCTGTGGATTGAGTGACCAAATTATTTATTTTTGTACAGCTCCTTGCATAAGTCTGTTGTGTGTACGGCCTGGGTATAGCTCCTTGCACAAACCTGTTGTGTACACTGCCCTGGAATGGCTCTTTACACAGCACAATACGAGAGGCTATAATACAAATTTATACTCATGTAGTGCCTTTCCCGTCGGGAGGACATCCCAAAGTACTTAACAGCGTTGGCTAGGTGCCCGAGCTGGGGGTGGGAGCTGAGGCAGGTGGCGAGGGAGAGATAATAATAATCCTTGCATATGATGACTGAAAGCATCGTCAAAGTCGTGCTGGGAAGTGGAGCAAATGCAACCGGATGAGACTAGGGCGACAGACTCGTGGAGCTTGGTGTGGGACGAGGTGAGAATCTCAAAATGTTCCTGGTTTACTATCAAACACTTACTTTCTTTCCCTCACTACCTCTACAACTTTTAAGTCGATACCTGCCAAATTAGACTGCAGTCAGGCCAAGTTCATAAGGGATACTTTCGTACATGGAAGCCAATCAATAATAGGGCTGGTTCAGGAGAGCTGACATTAAATAGAACAAAAANGGCCTTCTTATTCTGAGCTTCTCTTGTGACCTTGTGAGCTAGGCGAGCAGTGGAAGAATCTCTGTTAGGCTTGGAGTACAACCCAAAATTGACATATGTACGTCGGGAGGATGTCCCAAGGCGTTAACGGGTTGGGACCAGGGATGGCGGATGGGGGAGGGAGGGTGGTCAAAGATGCGGTCGAAGAGGAGGATCTTGAATCGTGCCTTGAAGAAGACGAGGGAGGGAGGGAGGGAAGCGTTGGTAATGTGGGATGGAGTTCCAAAGATTGGGGAAGAGAGGCTGAACAGGTTAATAAAATGGACAGGTTGATATGGGGTGAGCAGGACTACTGTTAACAGACAATGTTTCTTGTGAACCAAATGATCCAAAGGAGTTGCCAGGGATGTTTCCCTGCAGTCCTGTCCAGTGCACAGTCCCGCGAAGGTGCCCTACCTGTCCATGTACAAGACTGACGGAAATTCCAGCTTGTGGTGAATCTTCTCAGGTCTTCCCAAAGCTTGATTGAATTCAAATCTGGAAAGTTCGAAGGTTAGAACGGGGGGGAGTGCAGTAAACCAGTGCTGTGGGAACAGAAGAAAGGGTTGTTATTAATAATAATTGATTTTTCACAGGATTTACAACAACAACTTGTACTTATATAGCACCCTCTGCACAGGGTAGCATCTCAGAGCGATTAACAGTGGTGGAGCCTGACTCCGAGCCGGGGGGAAGGGGCCGTAAGCACGGCCGAAGAGGAAGGTTTTCAGGCAGAACTTGAAAAAGGGGCGAGAGGGGGCAAGGCGGAGGGATTGAGGGAGAGTGTTCCACAGATTCGGGGCGTAGTGGTTGGGGGCGGAGGGTGTGAGGGTCGAGCAGGAGGCTGGTGCTAGTCGAGTGTAGGTCAGTATAATAATATTAATAATAATCCTTGCATTTGATATAGTGCTTTTCACGTCTTCGAGACATCTCAAAGCGCTTCACAGAATATACTGTAAAGTGAATTGACTGTATATTTGTGGGCGAAATATGGCAGTCAATTGCCCACAGCAATGTCCCACGAACAGTCGTGGATTGAAGTGAGCAATTTATTATTGTCTTTTTTTCTTGAGGGATTATTATTAGGCGTATGGAGTAAGGAAACTTGCCCAAGGTTTCGCCCTGCCTGGAATTGAACCCAGGTCTCTCGCTTGAGAGGCGAGTGCTCTAACCACTGAGCTACAGGACTCCACTATGCGGGTATTTATCATTTAATAATAATAATAATAATCCTTGAATTTATGACAGCGCCTTGTCACGTCGTCAAGACAATTAAAAGCGCTTCAGAGGAAACGTGTTCTCACACTGCATTTTGTAAGCAGACCTGACAGCCAATGTACACCCAGAGGGTCTCCCACAAACAGCCATGAAGTTATTCGGCAATTTATTTGGAGGATTGATGGCCTCCATGATTGATGGGAGAGAGAAACCCTCTTCTCTTTTCAATCACTGCCATGGAATATCTCAAGTCCATTGAAAATGCATCCAATGATACATGTGGAACTTTTTTGTAAGGGGTGGGTGAGCAAGGGAAAGAGACACAGAGAAAGAAAGACATGAGAGAGAGGGAGGGAGGGCCTGAGGGAGAAAGGGAGCGAGATTTGAAGGAGAGAGACTGAGGGAGAGAGATTGAGGGAGAGAGATTGAGGGAAGGAGAGAGGGAGGGATTGAGGGGAAGAAGGACGAAGATTGGAAGGGATAGAGGGAGAGGGGGANGGAGGGATAGAGACAGAGAGCGAGGGGAGAGAGGGAGGGAGGGAGAGATTGAGGGAGAGAGGGCGGGATTGAGGGAGGGATAGGAGGGATTGAGGGAGATATTGGGAGGGATTGAGGGAGACCAAACACACGCTCAAGAGACAGAAGGGGGATGCACTTTACATCTCCCTTTAGACTGGGAACACAGCAAGAAAATGCCAGGATTTCATTTGCTTACGATGCCCTTTTAAAACACCTAATAATACCAATCCTCGCATTTGATCTGGCGCCTCATCACATCTGCAAGACGTCTCAAAGCGCTTCACAGGATAATACTGTAAAGTGGAGTGACTGTATTCTGTGGGCGAAACGACGATGCTTTGCGGTGTACATTTTACATGATTCGAGGGATCCTTACGTAACGACACTCAATCTGAACCAGTGACTGTTTCCCGTGGGCTCACTGTGTACATTATTCTCCGTGCGACCGTTGCAACGGATACAATTAAGAGCCCAATTTGTGAAAGGAACCTGGAGCTTCAAGCTATACAAGTGCAGCCTACCTCTAGCAAGCTCCTCTTGTCCAACTCCCCCACCCACTTCGTCAAACTCAGGCCTGCCTGCCTGCTGCATATCACTTGCCCCCTCCTCTCCATCACCGGTGGCCAAGTTTCACACGCGATAATGCTCCCACACTCCAGAATATCTCACAAATCTCGCCTCCTCTCACCCTTACCTCACTCTCTGCTTTCAAATCCTTCTAAAAACCAACCGCTTGACTGTACCTTCACACAATTCCCGCCTACCTTCCTATTTCCCACTTTTGCTTGGACTCTCTAGAGCACTTATAATAATAATAAGTCAGTCCTTCAGTCTGTCCAGAGCTTTGAAAGTGAACACAACTGTTCTGCATCCTATCTGGTTTGTCTCATTGCAGCAAATCAGTGGTAGGTTCATTAAGAATTCACCAATAATAATAATAATCCTTGCATTTGATATAGCGCCTTGTCGTGTCGTTGAGACGTCTCTCTAAGCACTTCACGGAATTTGTCAAGCGCCTTTCAACGTTGGGAGGACGTCCCAAGTCGCTGAACAGTCAGGGATTAGGAACTGAGCGTTGGGGGAGGGTTAGGATGAAGGAGGGCATAGAGGTAGGAGGGTGGCTGAAGGCACGGTCGAAAAAGAGGTAAAGTGTAAATATTCTGTAAAGTGAATTGACTGTACCTTTTGTGGGCTAAACGCGGCAGCCAATTGCGCACAGCAGTGACCAAAATGACGATTATTTTTATTTTTGTAGGGATTATTACGCCCGGAATAGCGATCTGCCAATCAACTAACAACTGGGTTCCTACTTACTGCTGGGTAAACAGAGGCGTGTGTGTGGAGTAAGGAAACTTGCCTAACATTTCTTTTGCTCAGTCGTGCCTGGGAATCGAACCCAGTCCTCTTGCTTGCGAGGCAAGAGCGCTAACCACTGAGCTACAGGACTCCACATTCTTATGGCTCTATGTGATGGCTCACCTCCTGTCCAGACTTTGCAGAATTTTCAGAATGGAGGGACTCAATCTCCCCCTCAACCATGGCAGCCTCCAGACACTCGTGCAGATCCTTAAAGCCGTTCACCTGTAGTGGGTACTGTCCGAACATCTCGGAGTTTTCAAATTTCTTTCCTATCACCAGAAGAAAGCAACATTTAGATCCATCGGTCTTTTACGGGACAGTTATGGAAACAAACCATTCACACTTTGCCCCCAACGAAAATGCTGAGCTGTGCAATAATGTGCGTCAGCCTGGCTCAGTGGTAAGCGCTCACTCTCCCATCTGAGTCAGAAGGTTGTGGGTCCTAGCCCCACGTGAAGACATAAAATCACAGTCTAAGCTGACTCTCCAACGCAACGCCGGGGGGGGGTTCTCGCACTGTCAGCGGTACTGTCCTTCGGATGAGACGTTAAACCCATCTGCCTGTTCAGTTGGATGTTAAAGATTCCGCAGTACCTTGAATCCATGACTGCTTGTGGGGACGCTGCTGTGCACAATCGGCTGTTGTGTTTCCCCCACAAAATATACAGTCAATCCACTTTACAGTATGTCCTGTGAAGCGTTTCGATTTGTCTCGAAGACGTGATAAGGCGCGATGTGAAATGCAAGGGTTATTGGTATTATTATTTTAATTCAAAATCTGCACATCACCTTCGTGCATTCCTACAGCCAGAAACCGTCCATAGAAGAGTTCAACCATTGGGTTCTTTGGTTTCTCACCTTCCCTGGCAGGAGAGAAAGAAAAAAAATAGTCACAGCATGTTCTAACTCACAAGCTGCCAATGCGCCTTGAAGTCGCATTATAGACATAGAATCAAAGAATCCTAGAATTATACAGCACAGAAGGAGGCCATTCGGACCATCGTGCCTGTGCCGGCTCTTTGAAAGCTGTCCAAATTAATCCCGCTAATTAATCATTCTCTCCCCGTAGCCCTGCAAATTTGTCCTCCGCAAATATCTATCTACTTCTCTTAAAAGTTGTTATCGGATCGGTTTCCACCCACCACCCTTTCAGGCAGGGCATTCCAGACCGAACGACTCGCTGAAAAGAAATCTCCCCTTATCCTTCTCCCCTTAAATTTACACGATAGTAAACTGTTAAAGGATAAAGGGGAGAGAGCTGGGATGTGGGATTAATATACTAAAAAAAAGTTGATTTTAGGTAAACAGATGGCACGTACAAAATGGACCAAACAGACTCATTCTGAGCTGAATTTTTCTGCTTTTTTGACCTGGCAGCTATGCACTTTTACTTCCCTCACCTCACCCCCAGCCCCCCAGCCCCAACACACACCATCCCCCCGCGCGCGCACACACACACACACACACTTAAACTTTACATTTTGCCAGCAATCGATCAATCAACTTTTCTCCAGCTAATTTAAAACAACATTTCATCCTACAACCTTTTAATGTTTGAGAAAAATATGTAACGTGGTAAACAGAATATTTAATGATTCCTTCCTCAGAAAATACATGTTGCTTCTAACAAAAGGCAGATTGCCATCCAGTCCAGGACTGTGAGTCCTGCACCATTTAATCTCATCTGATGATGATGAAGGTAATCAACCTCTTTGCGTTTGATACAGCGCTCCATAGCGTTCAAACCTCTCAAAAAAGTGCTTCTTTTTCATAAATCCTTTAAACATCTACCTGAACAGGTAGACAAGACCTTAGTTTAACATCTTATCCTAAGGATGGCATCTTCGACAATGCAGTACTCCCACCCAACACTGCACTGGGCACTGGAGTGTCAGCCCAGACTGTGGGAATTATTGCCCCCGGAAAAGCGAACTACCGATAGACAAGTGAATTGACTGAATAAAATCCGCACCTTCGAAAGAACAAATAATTTTTTCACTGGACGAACACATTCAAAGCATTGCTTTTGAAGGCAAAGTCCGTCTAGTCTCGACTACAGCATCTCTGAATCAGGACATGTTCGCTACACTGCTTTGAGAAGAGTAACACACTCTACACTGTGCACTGGGAAGTATCTTAAAAATCGTGTGCAATCTGGAGTCGCAATGTAAAACTGTTCAGTGAAGGGCTCGGCTGCATAGTCCAACACTGTGACAGACGGCGGCAACAGAAAAAATACTGACTGCCTCTCGCCATGAAGGATGTGAGGTCAAGCCTGTGATGGGACCCGATCAAATCTAGGCTGACGCTCCAGTGTCGTACCCTACCTAGTCGGAGGTACCGCTCTTTTCAAATGAGCCGTTAAACCGAGGTTGCGTTGCTTGTTCAGGTGGCTGTTTGTGGGACCTTTGATGGATGCAAAATGGCTGTCGCACCCAGCCTACAAAAAGTGACGCTGCATTTGCAGGGGCAAAGGCAGGCAATGCAGCAAAATGTAAGACAAAACGGTCACATAGCCTAAGGCTAGGTGGTCTTTTGGGCTTCTGACGCATATCATAACAATCCTCGCCTTTGATATCGCGCCTTATCACGTCGTCGAGGCGTCTCGAAGAGCTTCACAGAATGTAAAATGGATAATTTGTGGGCGAAACGCGGCAGCCAGTTGCGCACAGCGGTGACCCACAAACAATCTTGCCACTTACCTCTCTTCCTCCGCTTTCACCTGAAAGGCATCCTCCAGCCAGTCCAAAAGTTTGTGTGTAAACTCACTCACATCTTGCTGCAAAGCAACATAGGAAATAACACTGAGTGAATGAAATTAAAGTCAAGCCGTAAGGTTTTCAGCGCACACATCTAAGCCGGGTACACTTGCACTCTTCCAGAACACAACACAGTGCACAGAATTTTTTGTTTGCCTGGAAGGGAGTGGCACTCTCTCCCTGGAGGATGCATCTGGCTCACCTCATCACAGACTCTGTCCGGCAGAGGTTGTTAAGAGTCATGGCTTGAGGAGCGCAGAGTTTGCACTGTCTGTCCAGTGTCTTGGGACGTCCTCCCGATGTGAAAGGCGCTATACAAATGTAATATTGTATTGTATTGGGGGCACCCCTGGGAGCTTAACCAGCTAATAACACACAGCTTGTCATAGTGAACACTGTCCAGCAATCTTCCTGCTGATTGACCATCTAGGACGTTCCTGTCTTATAGAGTTTGGGCTCGCAAGGTTAACAGGAGCTGCAGAGGGAAGAATCTCAGGCTTCAGTGACTAATATAATCCTCTGACGAGTCAGATTGGCGGAGCCATCATGAACCGGGCATTGTACAATGCCAATCCACCTACTGAGACCCCCCACAGAGAATGCCAATGTTACACTGTTAGGCGCGTCACCTCAACCTACAAAGAGACCTCACTTACTCACTCCCAAAAATGATTGCCAGTGTGTCAGTCATTAGACATCTGAGAAGCAGAAGTCTGAGCCCTCGCTAGGTGGGTAGCAGGTACAAGAAACTGCTCGCAAGCTGCTTAGCCATGCAATAGGGGAGCCGTTGTCCGCATTCTCCTGCTCACAGGTCAGACACACACCTTCACCTATTGAGCGGTGGTTCTACCAATTAGAAATGCGGAAACTTTTTTAGCAGTAGCATCTCGCCGCTCTCCTCTGCTTGCCATCAAGATAGGTACCAAGCACTGGATACATATAATAATCTGTGCATTTGTTATAGTGCCTTTCACGATAGGAGGACATCCCAAAGTGCTGTACTGTAAAGTGCAGTGACTGTGTGGTTTGTCGGCCAACGTGTTCAACAGAGAACCAGAACAGGTGCTTATATAGAGTGCAGAGAACCAGAAAGCCTTATCAGTCACATCCTGTTCCAGGATTGCGTGATGCGCTAACTTGTAAACCTGGGGTCCATGGCTAGTTTCACACACAATAAATAAAATCAGCACCCATTGACAACTTCCACAAGTCTTTTACTCTTACCTGCTGCGAGTCATTGGATTTAAAAGCATCTTTCAGTATCTCCACAGCTTTTGAAGGATCAACGTATTTTCTCTTGGAGCTCACCATTAGTGCAAAGAGCTGCCTCAACTCCCGCATGAAGGGGAGGTTTCGATGTTCCTAGAGATGAAAAGAAGTTTGAATAAATAAAACACCCAGTAAAAGGCTGGCTCTCAAAGCCACTGCACCAACCATAATAATAGTTGGGATTTTCTCTTCAAAGTGAGGGGGAAAAAATGGATGAAGTTACAAGTCTATTTTTACAACAACCTTAATTTTTTTGCTTTTGAAGGGATGAATAATAATAATAATCCTTTGATTTGATACAGCGCCTTATCACGTCTTTGAGACGTCTCAAAGCGCTTCACGGGATACACTGTAGAGTGAATTGACTGTATATCTTGTGGGCGTTTCGCGGCAGCAAATTGCGCACAGCAGCGTCCCACAAACAGTCGTGGATCGAGTGAACAATTTATTATTCTTATCGTTTTTAAGGAATTATTACCCCCGGAAAAGCGATCAACCGATTGACTAACAACTGGGTTCCTACTTTCTGCTTAGTAAACAGAGACGTGTGTGTGTGTGGAGTAAGGAAACTTGCCCAATGTTTCGCCCCCTGCCCGGGAATCGAACCCAGGTCTTTTCACTTGTCAATCACATCAGGCTTGATTGAGTAAAAGGCACCTTTAACCTTTAACTATTGCTCAGTGGAGATTTTCCTTCTCGTGTCTAGCTCCAGTCACAACATTCTCAATCGCTAGCCGCCACCACGTCAATTTTAAGTTCCTGACGCCTAACTGCCTTTTGCCAAAGGCCAGCTTCATCTCACCAAGATAAGGCGCTGCCTGTGAACTCTTAATCATTGCTTTCTGCGGCTACCAGGCAACAGCCGAGCAACGGCGCCAGTCTGCCCACTGATCCGAACAGAATTGTAACGGTGATGATCGTGGGGCCACAGGCGGCTGGAGCAGAAACGTTATCCCTAAATTACACCCAAGTGAGTGCGTGCAGGGAACGAGCAGGCAACTGAGCGTGGCAGGAGTTTACCATCAGCAACAACAGCAAGAAAAACAACAGAAGCAGCAGCAAATGACATCCAACACGGCGCTTTTCACGTCAGGAGGACGTCCCAAGGCGCTGGACAGTCTGGGATCCGCACCCGACCTGGTGGTTGAGATCAGGAGGGGGTGGAGGGCGGGGAGGGTAAGGGCAGGAGGATGACCGAAGGAAAGGTCGAAGAGGAGGATCTTGAAGGAGCCAGGGAGGGAGGGTGCGAGGTGGAGGGACTGTGGGATGGAGTTCCAGAGGATGGGGGAAGCAGAGAGGCTGAAGGTCCGCCCGCCGTTGGTATTCAGCACATACACAACGGGAGGGGGTGGGGGGGAGAAGGTACAGAAAAAGGCTGATAGATCCAATGGAGTCGGGTCACAATTGTTATGGTTCTATTCGAAATGATCTCCCTCCGTGCTGCAAATATCCACGATTCATTTATCGATCACTGGAGGGCAGTAGCACATACCACGGTTCAGATTTCAGATACTCAGTGATTTTGTTTTGGTCAGCCGGGTTGTCTGACATGCGCAGAATGCAGAAGCCCATCACCGTTGTTTAAGAGCATCCAAACCAAACTGAGAATTCACCTACACGTGGAAATCCCAGAGTTAGATTGTTGGAATGGAATGCGCTCTCTCTCTCTCTCTCTCCCTGAAGGGACACATCCTACTTACCTTATCACGCAGGTTGGCAATGCTGTTCAATGCAGTGAATTCAACTCAAAGAGCAAAGTAGAAACTACGCTCACTGTACCCATTGACAGTAAAGTGTACGGTTTGCACTTTATCCATCCCATGTTCTTTACTGCCGGGCGGTTCATACTGTCTGCCTTATGGTCTATATTAAACACAAGCTCGTTGTTTATTGCTAGATCATTCTTTCTTTTTCCAATCAGGTCATTAATTTAGATTCCATCGGGTTAGATAGTAATAATATCCAATGGCTGCCACGTTTCACCCACTAAATATACAGTCAGTTCACTTTACAGAGTATCCTGTGAAGCGCTTTGAGACGTCTCGAAGACATGATAAGGCGCTGTATCAAATGCAAGGTTTATTATCATCATCATCGTTCTAGCGAGCCGTGCTTCACAGAGACACTATAAAGGGGGATCTTAATTGTCGACCTCCCTTATTCATTAAGGATTCATTAAGAAGGAACTCGATTGCAATTCCTGTCAAAGTGTCAGAATTCCGCTCCGGAAATAGATCATGCTGGAGCAATGCTGTACATATCCCCAATGAGTGACACGGATTTAAACCAACAACAAATTATATTTACACAGAGACTTTCACGTCAGAGAGGAGGTAATTAACCGACCGACAAATTTATGATTTATTACAAATTGTTTCACCAATGCAAATCCAGACACACAGCAAGCAACGCAACTGTGGTGGGGATGTGAAGTCCCACCGATTGTCAGGACACGGGCTTGGACTCACTGTGTGAGTGGTGCTGGGAGCTGACACCAGTCTTGTTTCTGAAGCCGGTTCCTTTTAAAGGACCGCGGAAAAAAAGGCTTCTAAATTCAGAACGAATTTACCAATTTTTCCAAAATTCTACCCAGTCGTAAATTTTAAGACCCTGTTCTTAACAACAACAACAAGATTACATTTGTATAGCGCCTTTCACATCGGGAAGACGTCCCAAAGCGCTGGACATTGTGCAGAATTTCAGCATTACTTCTGGGGTCAGGGGGGAGAAGGGAGGGGAAGAGGGTGACCGATGGCATGGTCGAAGAGGAGGGTTTGGAGGCGGGACTTGAAGGAGGCTAAGGAGGGGGAGAGAGATTGGGGGATGGAATTCCAGAGGTTGGAGTCACAGTGGCTGAGGGCTCTCCCGCCAATGGTGGGACGAGTGGGTCAGGGAACGTGGAGCAGGCCAGAGCCGGCTGAGCGGAGGGAGCGGGTGGGTTGGTAAGGGGTTAGGACGTCACAGAGGTAGGGTGGGGCGACACCATTGAGGGCTTTGTAGGTGAGGACCAGGATCTTGAACTCCCTCTGAAGGATAGGGAGCCAATGGAGTCGGGCGAGAATGGGGGAGATGGGGTCCTGGAATTTGGTACGGGAGAGGACACGGGCTGCAGAGTTCTGGATTAACTGCAGCCTGTGGAGGGAGGAGTTAGGAAGGCCGACAAGCAGGACATTTGCATGGTCGAGCCTGGAGGTGATGAAGGCATGAACTAGAGTTTCAGTGCCTGAGGGGTGAGGTAGTGGCAAAGTCGGGCGATGTTACGGAGGTGAGGGAAGGCAGAGTGGGTCATGGCTTGAATGTGGGGAAGAAAAGACAGTTGAGGGTCGAACAAGACACCGAGATTCCTGACTGGCTGGTGAGTTGTAGTGTGCAACCATGGAGGTTGATGCTGCCAGAGCCTGAGGTACAGAGGCACTGGCGCGAGCCAATCGGGAAGGCCTCAGTCTTTTGCCGTGATCCAGGACTTGATGTCCGACAGGCACTCTGTCAAGACAGCAGTGGTCCTGGAGTTGAGGGTGGAGGCAGAAAGATAGAGTTGGGTGTCATCCGCATATGTATGGAAGTTGACCCCATGTCTATGGATGATATCACCAAGGGGGAGCATGAAGATATTAAAGAGGAGAGGGCCAAGGACAGAGCCCTGGGGGACACCAGGCATGACAGTGCGGGGGTTGGAGGAGAAAACGTTTGAGACGGTGAGAGAGATAGGAATCGAACCAGGCAACGGCAGGTCCGTGAAGATTAAGTAAGGAAGAGAGGCGGTTATATGAAGATGAAATGGTCGAAAATGTCAAAGGCCCCAGAGAGGTCGAGGAGGACAAGGAAGCAGAGGGAGCCCCTGATCACAGATATCCAGAATGTCATTAGTGACTTTGACCTGCGCTGTTTCCAAATTTCTGCTGCTCTTAAGACTGAAAGCAGCAGAAATTTGGGAGCTCAGCTCCTTTACCATGAGAGAGAAAGAGAGAGAGAGAGAGAGAGAGAGGAAAAGCAGCTGGGTTGCTTCCATCTTAGACAAGAGGTCTGGAAACTAATGAGCCACTGAAGCTCATGGTTGATGATGGGGTTGTGACTAGAGAAAGGGGGAGTAATGTTTCTCGACACAAGTAGGTTAATGGACGGTAATGGTCCTTCTCCTTGTCACGGAATGGTGACAAACGTTCCCAGTTCCATCCACACGCCACATACGCACCTTCTGATTCCGAGGTACATCGTGAGCATCTCCGGGCGGTACGTAGTTGAGCACAAGTCTCCGGAACTCAAGCAGATTGAAGAGAGACTGAAGAGAGGAAAAGACGCAGAGAATTAGAGACTGCTACTGATGAGAGCTTCAGGGGACACAATTCGAAGAGAAATCAGGATTATGATAAACAGCAGAAATGAATTACTATTCTGTAGTGCCTTATCATTTAGTATTGTTAATAATAGCTCCCCAAATTATTTCTCCTCCAAAATATACAGTCAATTCACTTTACAGTATATTCTGCGAAGAGCTTTGAGATGTCTCGAAGACCCGATGAGGTGCTTTAGATCAAATGTAGGGATTATTATTAGCATTTGAAAAGTGTTTCACGGATAACTGCTGTCAGCTGTGGTAGGTGAGCGAGCACCAGCCATGGCTCACAAACAGCCACAAAGTGAATGGTGGGATTATCAGAAGGATTGTTGACCCGGACACCTGGAGAAACTCCCTTGTTTTCTCATCATGTCACGTCCACCACAGGATCTTTAACGTTTGCCTGAACAAGCAAATGAGAAACCAGTTTGACATCTATCCTTCGGCAATACAGTGTTGACCTAATCTCCGAGCCTTGGTCTTGGCCTGACACCCAGAACCTTCTGACCCAGAGCAAGAGTGCTGTGAGTTGAGACGAGCTAAAACAATGGCTTGAGAAGTAATAATAATAATCCTTGCATTTCATACAACGTCTTATCGCATCTTCGAGACATCTCAAAGCGCTTCACAGGATACACTGTAAAGTGAATTGACTGCATATTTTGTGGGTGAAACGCGGCAGCCAATTGCGCACAGCAGCGTCCCCACAAACAGCCGTGGATTGAGCGACCAAATAATTTTTATTTACTTTGAAGGGATTATTAACTCCGGAAAAGGGATTCCTCCAGTCGACTAACAACCAGGTTCCTACTTGCTGCTGGGTAAACAGAGATGTGCGTGGAGTAACGAAACTAGCCCAACGTTTTGCCCTTCCTGGGAATCAAACCCAGGTCCTCTCGCTTGCGAGGCGAGCGCCCTCACCACTGGGCTATAGGACTCCAAATCAGCTAAGCTTGTCAACGGCAGTGACCTGAATCCCCTGAAGCTTTTTCCTCAGTTGAGCGAAGCTAAATTTGAGAAACCAACAAATGAAAGAGAACTTGCAGCTTCCAGCCTGTTTCCTACTGCTCTGGGTGACAACTGAATTGATCTTTTGAACCTTTTTACAGTCTGTCAGGCTGAATGCAGTGGACAAGTCGCTAACCTGAGAATGAACCACATTTTTCGAACCACAACCCGTGGGGAACTGGCATTTTACATAAAATCTATAGCTGGAAGAGCAGCAGCTGAGAAACCGTGTCACAAGGCTTATACTCCAGGGGAATGGTTAACAAGACAAGACACAAGGCTAAGTTGAAGCAGCTTATACAGGTTGCGATCAAAAGTGAATTGTTAATATGTGATCAGATCAGCAGTGAATTATTAGTTAAAATGTTTTTGTTAAAAGTTGGGTACGTTTATACTTCTTAGTTAGTATTGAGCTGACCTGTGGAATTACAATCATAATAATAATAATCCTTGCGTTTAGGAGTCCTGTAGCTCAGTGTTTAGAGCACTCGCTTCGCAAGCGAGAGGACCTGGTTCGATTCCCAGGCGGGGTGAAACATTGGGCAAGTTTCCTTACTCCATAGCGCTTTCTCACATCTTCGAGACATCTCAAAGCGCTTCACAGGTTATACTGTAAAGTGAATCGACTGCATATTTCGTGGGCGAAATGCGGCAGCCAATTGCGCACAGCAGCGTCCCCACAAACAGTCGTGGAATGAATGACCAAATATTTTAATTTTCTTTAAGGGATCGTTCTACTATCCTACCAACGATGCGATGCACCCTGCGGATTTACGTTTGCAATTATGTTACCTGGTCAATAGGGGGAAATACGCACAGTCGTTTGAAGTCCCCCAAAATTGGGTCTCCTCGCATTGTGATTTCATAGAATTATCTCCTTCCTCTTGGCGTTTAAGAGAAGGGGAGATACAGATCGACTGACAGCTGGAGCCGCTTGCGAATGGGTGTGGGGCGCTCCGGGCTGTCAATCACCCTGGAGCCGTTGCTCATTGGGACCCTTTCCTGTCCAATGTGAAAGGCGATGTGGGAAGAGGAAGGGCCCCCACCTCCACCTCCCCCCACTCCTCTGCTGGGCGGGAAGGGGCAATTAGCATTGGAAAATGCTGTTCTGATTAAGTGACGGACGCTCACACTTGATCGCAGGTGCGGGAGACGGCTTGCAGATCAACGATCATGATTACAAGCGCTGTTTTAATTAAATTAAGCTGAATTGGTAAGTCCTGTCAAAGTGTAACAAGCGTCACAGGTGGGGGGGAGCCTTCATAAGAGTAGACAAAATGGTATGAGAAGATATCAACAGATTGTATTGTGAAGAGTTGCCGTGCGCAATTGGCCGCCACAGTTCCCCCACAAAGTACACTCTACCGTATATTCTGCGAAGCTCTTTGAGATGTCTCGAACACGTGATGAGGCGCTGTATCAAATGCAAGGATTATTGTGATTATTATTAAATTGGCAAAGAAAGAAGAAAGGGAGTCCTGTAGCTCAGCGGTTAGAGCGCTCGCCTCGCTGCCCGGCCAGGGCGAAACATTGGGCAAGTTTCCTTACTCCACACCTAGCAGTAAATAGGAACCTGGTTATTAGTCGATAAGCGGATTGCTTTCTAGGGGCCCTCAAAAAGTAATTGGTCGCTCAATCCATGGTTGTTTGTGGGACACTGCTGTGCCCAATTGGCTGCCGAGTTTCGCATCCACCCGAGGCTCTGAGATTCAAGCCAAGCAAGGGTCCGAGATTCAAGTCACATCAGAAGAAAGACGAACAGGTATCAATGAAACGAGGATACAGATATAATAATAATAATAATCCTTGCATTTGATACAGCGCCTTATCACGTCTTCCGAGACGTCTCAAAGCGCTTCACAGAATATACTGAATTGACTGTGTATTTTTGTGGGCGAAACGTGGCAGTCAATTGTGCACAGCAGAGTCCCACAAACATCGTGGATTGAAGTGGCCAATTTATTATTAATTTTTTTGAAGAAATTATTACCCCCTGGACAAGCAGGGTGTTGTATCGTAAGGTATTACTATTTAAAAAGTTGCAAGAGATTTACTGCCTGCGATCTCAAACCAAGAGAATATTTTCTGCTGCATGGGAACCTTGATATTGTCACTGCAATGACAAACTATATGTTCCATAAGTTGCATAATGTTTGCCCATTGTAACCCTGCCTACGATAACCCTGTTTCATGAATTAACATATCTTTTCGTCCAACTGCTAATATTAAAGGAGGTGTTGAGCATAGAATACAAGTAATAATCATCCTTGCATTTGATATAGTGCCTTATCGCGTCTTCGAGGCGTCTCAGTGCTCTTTAGTTTAGTTCCCAAGTGACTTTAATTCCCTCTGTTCCCAGGTTTACAATTTGGATAAACAGAATAAGATGTTTTTTTTCTGGCTGCACCTTTGGTCCCAGGCCTAACAGAGTGGTCAGATCCATGGCTGGCCCCCCGCCAGGCTAAACAGAGCGATTAGCTCCTCTGCTGGCCGCATTTTTTTTCCCCAAGACATGTCGGAGTGTAAGTTAATCTTCAAAACAATCCTGGACTTATTAATAATTTGTGATTCACTTTTTTTTATATAACAACATCTCTGTATGGGATTTACTGCAGTTTGCTGCCCCCTTTCACTAAACCTCACCATTAAATCAGTTCCGTTTCCTTCACCCACCTCTGCCTTACACAACTGCAGGTTAATTAATTATTCTACCAGAGGCACCAGTTTTAGTTCAATCGAAACTTGTACGGAGTTATTATAATAATAATCCTTGATTTTGATACAGCGCCTTATCTCGTCTTCGAGATGTCTCAAAGGGCTTCACAGAATATTCTGTAAAGTGTAGTGACTATATTTTGTGGGTGGAACGAGGCAGTCAATTACTCACAGCAATTTCCCACAAACAATCGTGGATTGAGTGACCAATTTATTATTTTTTTTGAAGGAATTATTACCCCCGGAAAAGCGATCCGGCAATTGACTAACAACCGGGTTTCTACTTACTGCTGGGTAAACAGAGGCACATGTGTGGAGCAAGGAAACTTGCCCAACGTTTCGCCCTGCCCGGGAATCAATCCCAGGTCTCTCGCTTGCGAAGCGAGTGCTCTAACCACAGTTACAACCACTAATTGAATTTGTATAGAGTCTTTTGCGTCGGGAGGACATCCCAAGGCGCTGGACACTCGTGGATTTTTTTTGGACCCGAACAAGGGGTTGGGATCAGGGGTGTAGGACAGGGAGGGTAGGGAGCAGGAGAGTGGCCAAGGGCGGGGTCGAAGAGGAGGGTCTTGAGATGTGCCTCGAAGGAGGCAAGGCAGAGAGCAAGGCGAAGGGTCTGTGGAATGGAGCTCCAAAGGGTGGACATTCCTGCATGTGTTTAACCTTTGGTCGATGCGAACTCCAAATAGATGCACACATCACAGTCCGTCAAAGGCCAGCAAAGCTGTCATTGCTGTGTGCACTTTGTTCCACAGCAGATTCAGTACGGATTTGGCAGAGTCACTTGTTTGCACTTGTTTACACCTACGCTCAATGATAACCGGCTGCAAAGTGTGGCTGTCCCATGACTGTCAATAACTAATGGCAAACAGGATATGCCACAAGGCAGTTGTACAGACAGGAATTGTCAGCCCAGGAGGCCGTTCAAACAAACCTATCTGAGCCGGGTTCCTACTTAACTGCTAGGTAAAACAGAGGCGCGTGTGTGGAGTAAGCAAACTTGCCCAACGTTTCGCCCGGCCCAGGAATCGAACCCGAGTCCTCTCGCTTGCAAAGCAAGCCCTGAGCTACAGGACTCCAACTCTTCTGCTAAACATTTCTGAACCTACAGTCTCTCGTCATCGAAGACCAGCAACTAAAGGAAATAATTTTTCTCTATTTATCCGGCGGTGCGCATTCAGAATCTTAAAACATTTCAACACCTCCAGCAGCCCCCACCCACCTCAACCGCCAGCTCCCACCCACTCTCCCGCCACCGCGCTTCAATCATTGTTCCGGCGCGGGAAAAAAAGCCCCAATTTAGCAGGTTATCATCCCAAAATCTGTTCTCTTCAATTCTGGGAATAGGTCTTGGGACGTCCTCCTGATGCGAAGGGCACTGCACAAATGTCATTTGTTGTTGTATTTTCGGACGTGAACGGGAATCTCACGAGCCAAGACGGAGAAGGACATCGAGTGACAAACAGCCACACACTGGCTTTACGTAAACAACCATCACCCAGCCTTCAACTGCAACTCAATCTGCCTGCTTCAGGATCAGTTCCACTCTCCCTTATGTCAGCTGTTATCAGCTGATCCACAGCCACGAGGAGCGGGTGGAAAGGGAGGGTTTGGGAAGGAGGGGGTGGGAGGATGAGCGAGAGAGAGGGAAGGAAAATGCAAACAAAAATAAGATTCATTCTTTTGTTAACGCAAAGGGTAGTGGAAATATAGAACTGTCTCCCCACCCATGAGGCTGTGCGTGCTGGATCCATTCAAACCTTCAAGACTGAGGTGGATAGATTTGTGTTAGGTCAGGGTATCAAGGGATATGGGGCAAAGGCAGGTAATTGGAGTTGAGGTACAGATCAGCCACGGTCTAAAAGAATGGCGGAACAGGCTTGATGGGCTGAATGGCCCACTCCTGTTCTATAGTCCTATATGTATATATATATATGTATAAAAATCTTCTTCTATACTAATAAAATGACAATACACTTCAAGAAGGATCTCAATAAGCGACTGACCTGTAGAGACATGGTTTTTACTCCACCGGAAAGATCTTAAACTGGGAGTGACATGGGCATATTTGTTTTCAGGTATCTCCTATTGTTCGTGAGCTATTTACAGTTTTGTATTTTTCGCTACAGTTACACCTGGTGGCTGCGGAGTCAAAGTGGGGCTGTGGCATCGTCACAGAGCACCTACGTACGCACGCACAAACTGCAGTTACACCTGGTGGCCGTGCCAGGCTGACTGTGGCGCTGTGGCATCCTGTGTCACAGAGCTCGCACGTAGCCCAGCGGGGTGAACAAAATAAAGAGCACAGACGAAGCTAAGCCATGGCAACATCAACAAAATTACATTTTTAAAGCGCCGAGTTCTGCCACTGAATCCTCTGGAAAGGATTCCTCCCACAGGAATTCTCCCAGATGAGAATAGATGAAGATGAGATGTCTGTCTGCGTGTCTGTCTGTGTATCAATCCACATTTCATATTGGATCCTTTGGTTGCAAGCGTAGCTGCAATAGGTACAGCTAGCACACACACATATATATATATACATATATACACACACACACACAGATGGGAAATTCTAGCATGATTTCTCATTGCAAATCCTTCGCAAACATTCAGATTGATTATTTTTTTGTTTGGTGAATTGATCCAAACTCACGTACATGCCAATTATGCACACGTTCAGCTGTATGATGTAAAAGTGGAATTGGGCTGCAATGTTACCTCAAATTGTCAGCTGCGCGCACATTGCATACAGTCAATTCAGCTTACAGCGATTTGAGACGTCTCGAAGACATGATAAGGTGCTATATCAAATGCAAGGATTATTATTATTATTATTACCAGATATATGATTTTACCAAGCAGCATGAGGTATTGATCCAGGTCAGTACACGGATGATAATAATAATTACCCTTACATTTGATATTTCGCTTGTCATGTCAGGAGGATGTCTCAAAGCGCATAGCCCGATACACAGTAAAGTGTGGTGACTGTGTGTTTGTAGTGAAAGAGAGAGACACAGAAAAAGTTAAGAGAGAAACACCATACATAATACACACAAACAGCAGTTGGTTAAATCCACATTCCCTCACACCATCTCTACCAGAATTCTCAGTCAAGGTTGACACTCTACGAAAGAGATGAGGCGCCTTTCATTAAGCCGCACAGCCAATAACTCGGCGTTGAGGAAACAGTAAGACAAGGAGACAAAGAAATGAGCATTTTCGACAGCAGGAAAACTCTTACCTGAATGACTGCGCTGAACCAGCAGGTGTTTCCGACGTTTTTTAGTCCCACCGGACAGTTATCTTGTCGTTTCCGGTCGTGCGGATTTAGTGAGTCGCTCCACACCTCCCCTTGGGTTCTCTTCAAACTGGCCTTGTTCTCCGCTATGCTGGCCTCCAGAACTCTTGAGGCCAACAAAAAAATACGTCAACAACAACTTGTATTTATGTATAGCCCATCATGCGGGGTAGCGTCCAGGAGCGCTTCAAAGTGGCAGAGTCTGACAACCGTAAAGTGTTGCAATTGAAACCCAAAAAGCACGTACCTAAAGCATGTAAAGCACGCACGTTTCAACCGTCAAATAATATTAGGAATTTAATTTTCTAGGGCTATTTCCTCTAGGTGCAGTCTAAAATTTCAGAACCCGCAAGGGTCAAATGTCAGATACTAACAATTATTATAATAATGCTTGCATTTGATATAGCACCTTATCACTTCTTCGAGACGTCTCAAAGCGCTTCACAGAATATGGTGTAAAGTGAATTGACTGTATATTTGTGGGTGAAACGCGGCAGCCAATTGCGCACAGCAGCGTCCCACAAACAGTCATGGATTGAGTGGCCAATTTATTATTATTTATTTTATTTTTTGAAGGAGGTATTACACCCGGAAAAACGATCCGCCAATCGACTTGCAACCGGGTTCCTATTTACTTCTGGGTAAACAGAGGAGTGTGGAGTAAGGAAACTTGCCCAACGTTTTGCCCTGTCAGGAATTGAACCCAGGTCTCTCACTTGCGAGGCGAGTGCTCTAACCACTAAGCTACAGGCATTCATGATACCTAGAATGAGCATTCCTGTTTCTGTTAAGTATACACTATATACACTCGCCTGACACTCCAGTACAGCACTGAGGGGAGTGACCCATCGATGAGATACTACACTGAGATCCTATCTGCCTATTCCCAGTGCCCTGGGATGTCTTTCAGACGTGAAGGGTGCTATAGATGTATGATTTGTTGTTGTTGTGTTTAAGTGGACATTAAAGAGCGCATGACACAACCGGAAAACGGGTTGCTCCCAGTGTCCTGGCCAACAATCCTGCAGATAAATTAGGCATTATCTTTGTGATTGTAGGACATGCTTCATGCAAAATAGCTGTAGTGTTTGCTACAAACACAGAGTCACTAGACTTCACAGCAATTACCTGTAAAGGGCTTACAATACAGGATCTGCATCAAATGCAAGAATCGCTATAATAATGTTCTCCCATCATTAAGGTGGAGTGAGGGGTGTGGGCGAAGGAGATTGGGAGGAGGAGAGATTTTAGGAAATATAAAATGGGCGAATCTTCCCTTCGATTCTCTCTGATTAAACAGGTTCTAGGCGCTACCGTTTTTGGATTAGAAAAGAAGATTCTGGAGAGTCCCCTGGAGAGGCTCGATGCAGTTCAATCAAAGAAATACAGCGACATATGCTCGGCTGTGGATGATCTCATCGGCTTTGGTTTCAAGTAACATTTGCGCTCAGCAAGTGACTGGAGATGCCAGGAGTATCCGCAGCCAATTACTCACGCTGTCTGTCAATAAATGCTGCTCGATGCAAGCAGTCATCAAGATACATCTCTCTACAGGCTCTCCCAAGGGGCACACACACAATCACAGATATATATTATATATATTATACACACATATAAATATATATAGAGAGAGAGAACGCTGTCAAGAAAACACAAAAACAAAGGTTGGCCTAAGTGCTCGGAGCAAGTGTTTCGGTCTTTCTATTAAAACTTTTCCGGGGGTAATACATTCCTTCAAAAATGAGGATAAATCAGAAATAGGTCACTCAATTCCTGACTGCTTGTGGGACACTGCTGTGCGCGATTGGCTGCCACGTTTCGCCCACAAACTATACAGTTCATTCACTTGAAAGCGCTTTGAGACGTCTCAAAGATGTGAAAAGGCGCTAGATCAAATGCAAGGATTATTATTGTTATTATTATTATAAAACAAAGTACTAAACGTTTGCAATGAGTGGCTGTGGTTCCACTTTACTCTGTCTACAAATTTGACAGCCTTGTCTAATAGATCCTTGCAGCAAGCAGTGGGTCTAAAATAAGCCCACGTGATTTGGAGAGGTAACTAACAGTAAATAAAACAAGCTGCGGCTACTGCGATCAAATACACTTTTACGACTCCAGCTCACAGGAGCATTAATTCCTTCGAAGGACTGGGTGGTAGCACCTGGCTCCGCTCATCAGTCAGCCCAGACACCCACATTGAAAACCAGCCCAGACTGAAAGGCTGAGTAAAAAAAAGGTAAAACACTGCAGATGCTGTAAAATCTGATATAAAACCAGAAGTCGCACTGATTTTAAATCTCACTATTAGGGTGGGTGTGGGGAGGGAAGGTTGTATTTTAGCAGGGCGAAACGTTGGGCAAGTTTCCTTACTCCGTAAGCCTCTGTTTACCCAGCAATAAGTAGGAACTCAGTTGTTAGTCGATTGGCGGACGGCTTTTCCGGGGGTAATAATTCCTTCAAAAAAAAATTGGTCACTCAATCCACCGGCTGCCGCGTTTCGCCCACAAAAATATACACTTTAATCTCTGAAGCGTTTTGAGATGTTTAAGAAAATGTGATAAGGCGCTATATGAAATGTAAAGATTGTTAAAAAAGAAAACTTGGTGAAGCTGCATAGGAAACAAAACACTTATCAGGGACTGAAGAGACAATGAGGTCAAAGCGGCATGGAAGAGCTATTTATAAAATGGGTGCCATTCACTTCATGGCTGTTTGTGGGACATCCCTGTGCACAAGTTAGCTGTCGTGGGTAGCCTACAAAATACAATCACTAAACTGCACAGTAAATCCTGTAAAATACTTCCAGCTGCCCTCCCGAGCTGAAATGCCCTACATCAAATGGAAGGATTATTATTATTATTATTAATAACTCACCAGCTCATTGGGAATAAGGTGCTAATCAGTATAATACAAATACACATTGACACCATCTACTTGCACTGGCGCAGAAAAGAATCAAATTAGCTAATTACAAGAATAGGCGTTCAAAGCTGTTCAGATGCTTTTGGAGTGGGTGAAAATATTATTCTGCTCCTGTTACTTATATCAAATGCAAGGATTACTATAATCAGAATCAGAGCGTTAAATTAAATTTAATTAAACGGCTGTTTGTGACTCATTGCCGTGCGAAACTGGCCGCCGGTTTCACTCGCAAAATACACACTCACTCCACTTCACAGTATATTCTGTGAAGCGCTTTGAGAAGTCTCAATAACGTAAGGCGCTATATCAAATGTAAGGATTATTATTATTCTCCCTTTGAGCAGGTCAACTGGCACCTGAAATAAACCCTTGATGCTGTTTTAGGGAGTAATCTCTTTCAGATGAAGGGTTAAGTCTTATATTAACTAAGTTTCACTTTCTCTTGTTTCTGTTTTGGTTTCACATTCCTCGTATTGGCCAGGGTTCTTTCGATTTCCCATACTGTACTGTCCGCACCTGCTCGTCTAATAGAGTTAGAAGCCAATTTACCACAATAATAATCCTTGCCTTTGGGGAATGTTTAACAATGCTCTTGTGTGTTGGTGGTGGGCCCAGCCCTATGCTGGAGCTCGACTGACTGCCCTCGGCAGTCGGGAAGGACCTTTGTGGGCAAAAGGCAGGAGAATATAATCCTCGTAAACAAAAACAGAAGTCGCTGGGAACACTCAGCAATCCACCCAATATAGTCATTCTATTTGATTCAGCGCCTCATCAGGTCTTCGAGACGTCTCAAAGCGCTTCACAGAATATAATAATAATAATCCTTGCAACAAAAACAGAAGCCGCCGGGAACACTCAGCAGGTCAGGCGGCATCTATGGAGAAAGGAAAGTGAGTCAACGTTTCGGGTCCACGACCCTTCGGCAGAACTGGGACATGTTGGGAGGGAGAGGCTTTTAAGGGCTAACAGACAGGGGAGAGGCAGAGCAAGGAAGACAAAGGAGAAAATGGGGTAGAGGACAAAGGGATGATGGGTTAAAGAGGTGTTAAAAACAAAGGGGGGGGGAATTACAACAAAACAGGCAGACCAGAACACCTGCTGAGTGTTCCTAGCGATTCCTGTTTTTGTTTCAGATTTCCAGCATCTGCAGTATTTTGCGTTTTGATAATAATCCTTGCAATCCTTATCACGTCTTCGAGACGTCTCAAAGCGCTTCGCAGAATAAACTGTGAAGCGAATTGACTGTATATTTTGTGGGCGAAACGCGGCAGCCAATTGCACACAGCAGCGTCCTACAGTGGTGGATTGAGTGACAATTTTTTTTTGGAAGGAATTATTATCCCGGGAAAAGCAATACGACCAGGTTCCTACTTACAGCTAGGTATACAGAGGCGTAAGGAGTAAGAAACTTTCCCAACGTTTCGCCTTGCCCAGATCCTCTCGCTTGCGAGGCGAGCGGAAGAACTACGAGTTACAGGACTCCACGTGGGACTGGACAGATAGCTCTTTCAAAGAATCGGCAGAGACATAAAGGGCCAACTGGCCTCTTTCTGAGCAGTATATTTCCATGGTTTTCCAGAAGCAGAAACCTTATGGATTCTGGTTTACAGACCCTCTCCGCCACCTCACCTGCTGATGGCTTGCTCCTCATCCGTGATGCCAGTCTCTCTGAAGGCTCTGTTGGATTCCTCTAAACTCAGGGCAATAGCTCTCTGCAGGTCATCCTTATCATCACCAGTCAGGTCAATGACATCTAAGAACAGCATAAAGAGTGTTTGCGTCAATAACAATTCAGCTTCAGATCAAAGGTAGTTGTTCGCGATAGCCCTAGGATAATTGGTGCACGTAAGTCAAAAACAGCTACTAAAAATCATAGAAAGTTACACAGAACACAGAAACAGACCATTCAGCCCTTTCTATCTGCACTAATGTTTCACTTCACATGAGCCACTTGTCTGATCCAAATCACAACAACAACTTGCACTTTTCAGCTGATAAAACTTTCACATAACAGAGATGTATTAAAATCCAGAACAAGGAAGTGTATGAGGGAGTTAAACCAAAGGCTTGGTCGAAAAGTAGGTTTCAAAGAGGGTTTTGAGAGGGAGACAAGAGGGATTGGGTGGAGGGGGGAAGAGAGTTCCAGAGAACTTAACTGGTGGCTGAAAGGTCAGCTGCCAATGCACAATGCAGCAGGTCCAAGTTTAGGTGGTAAAGTGAGGCTGGAGATGATTGCGAGGTAAGATGGTGAAGGGCACAGGGGGGATTTTAAAGAGGAACGTGAAGTCAATCCACTGAGAGACAGGCCACAAAAGCCGTCAGTGGAACTTGGCAAGAATAGAGTCGGCTTGATAGGCAACATGCAGTCTTAACTCAGGAGAAGATGCAAATTCTGGATGAGGGTGGGAAACGTTGAGTCTGGAGGTGATAAGAGCATCATCACAATGAGTGAGACAGGGCAGAGTCAAAAGACATTCCGGAAGTGGAGAAACAACAACAACTTGCATTTATACAGCTTCAGCTTCCCGGAGCGCTTATCAAGGAGGTCAATACAAAATTACATTTGTACAGCACCTTACATTCAGGAGGAGGTACCAAGGTGCTGGACAGTCAGGGATGGTTGTTGGGGGAGTATGAGTTTGGCAGAATGCACAGTCGAAGAGGAGGATCTTGAGACTTGCCTTGAAGGATGCAAGGGAGGGAGCGAGGTGAAGGGACTGTGGGATGGAGTTCCAAAGGGTGGAGGCGGAGAGGCCCGACTGCCAATGGTGGGGCAGGGTCAGGCCAGGCTGGAGACGTGGAGCTGGTCGAGGAGCAAGAATACTGCCCAGGGTCGCACATTAAGAAGGATTACTCAGAAGAGATACCTGAAGGCAACCAGACACCATGGAGCCATCAAGAATCATCACACTCAGGTCAATGGAAGAAATCAACCGGAAACCTTAACAGTTCAGCCTTCAGCTGACAAATGAAAGGATTACAATAGAATGTCAGAACGGAAAAATGGGCCTAAAGCTTAAACAGAGGTTTTTTTTTCTCTCGATCCTGGCAGCAGGAAGACAAACTGACAGAGAAACAGCAACACATCCCAACCTCCTTCTAGTCTAAGCCCCGCGAGTCATTTTGGACTAAAATTTAAACTGAATCGTGGAAGACTCTTCAATTCTGTCTGAATTTGAAAGCCATGACAAATCGGACTAAATTTAAGAATCGTGCACAATTTGGCGACAATTTAAATCTTAAAGCAAAATTATGTCGCCGGCTAAGGCTGGGTGGAATTTCAAGCCATTGATGCCCCACTCCCCGGGGGAAAAAAGAGCTTTTAAAAACGTTTTCGTCCGCCCCCAAAAAATGACCCCCAATATGGCTATTGTTTGTAAATCTTCATACATTTTTGTTTGGAGTCCAGTCTTCCTACGTTGCATTACTCACTTGTGTCAGCCTGGCTTCCCACGCTGATGTAACGGTCATTGCCAGTTTGTCCTGTGTGGTAGTAAGCTTCCTCCTGCTGTGGTGCTTTGGCATTCTTTTCGGTTAGGAAAGCGACAGCTTCCGCTAGATCCCCATTACTAGCCTGAGAAAACATCAGAAAGGTCAGCGTCATGTCTCTCTCTCTCTCCCTCACTCCCCACTCCCTCCTCCCAACGGCCCAATGAATAATAGTAATTGGATCACACAACTCTACCACAAAAGCTTGCATTTATATATAACTGGCTGTCTGCGTTTCGCCCATAAAATATGTTCTTTCAAAGAGCCGGCAAAGGCACGACGGGCCAAATGGCCTCCTTCTGTGCTGTAAGATTCTATACAACAACTTCCACTTATATAGCACCCTCTACGCAGGGTAGCGTCTCAGAGCGCTTCTGTGATTCTATAAAAGCAGAAAAACAGGTTCCAAATTAAGACAAATTTAATTGTTTCACACAATTTGTGCGATGTTCAAATTTTAAGATAAGGTTGGTCTTACAACCTGAGACTGAATGAAATTTCAGGTCTCAGATCGGCAGTTATAAGGTGCATTGGTCCTTTCTCTGATGGGGCTGTTATAATGCAACTATAATCCCTGTATTACCAGCTGTATAGACACAGCAAAGCAGTGAGCATTAGCTGTGCCCTCACTGCCCGAGAACGTGATAGCAGTCAGCAGTGGCTCCTGCAGCTAAGTCATTTAATAAAAACAGCCTACACTTCGATCTGAGTTTTTTTNAAATCAGTTGAATAATAAATAAAACAAAGGCAATGTAGAAATATCAAGGCATCAAGTTGTGAGCCACAAACCCCAACCACCCATTTACCTGTTATAATAATAATCATCCTTGCACTTGATATAGCGCCTTATCACGTCTTCGAGACGTCTCTAAGCGCTTCACAGAATGTACTGCAAAGTGAATTGACTGTATATTTTGTGGGCGAAAGGCAGCAGCCAATTGTGCACAGCAGAGTTGTGGATTGACAAAAAAATTATTATATATATTTTTTGAAGGCATTACTGGCCCCCAAAAAGCGATCCACCAATCGACTGACAACCGGGTTTCCGTTTACTGCTAGGTAAACAGAGGCGTGTGTGTGGAGTAAGGAAACTTGTCCAACATTTCGCCCCCTACCCGGGAATCGAACCCAGGTTCTTGTTTGCAAGGCGAGTGCTCTAACCACTGAGCTACAATGCAGCGTTCCCCCCTGCACTGCACTCAACTGTCAGCTCACAACATAAGTGCTTGACCCAGATCCAAGAATCCTACCAACTGAGCCAAACAGACACTTTGCCTGGAAGCAAAGAGGTATCTTTTACCCTCCCAGCAGTGAGTCCATGACCTCCACTAACTAACATCAGTCGAAGCCATTTGACGACCAGGGGCAGAACTGCTGGCACAAAGCTGCTTTCGACGACTCCCAGATCACATCACAGTCTGTCAAGGCAATCAGTAATATTCCAGGGCACTGGTAATGACGGTCCAGCCCGGCCTGGCTCATCAGCAGGACCTGGAAGGGCAGACCAGTCACTGGGGGCAGGGAGTCAGCTCCTGTTAACCCTGCAAGCCAGAGCCAAAGGGTGGTCCTATCTGGACAAGCAGCGGGAAAGCTTGGCCAGACAGAGATATCAATGGCAATCTATGCGGCTTTAGCTGGTTGGACTCCAACAGTTACCCCGACACACACTCTGGGGTTCCCCGCAAGCCTGGGCTCTTGCCAACCTGCGCCTAATACGTTCCGGAATTAGGTAAGCAGGATGCGTCCTTCCAGGGAGAGGGAGAGGAAGAGAGAGAGAGTGCGTATTCCATTCCAACAATCTATTTCTGGGATTTCCTTGTGTAGGTGGGATGTGTGGAATTCACAGATTGGTCTGGATACTCTCAAGCACAGTGATGGGTTTCTGCATGTGGCAGGCACCCGGCAGTCCAAAAAAAAACCCCAGCAAGCTGCCTGAAAAGCACACAATGTCTGACCCTCTAAACCCAGTTAACAACCTACAAATACAAAAACACTGTACGTCAGGATAAACAGCAATACGATCCAAACAGACCGAGGAGGCTCCCTTTATATAACTGTGCAGTCAGTACCTGTAAGGCTTGTTGCAATAATTGGATGTCATTGGTTCCTGTGACCTCTCTCAACTGGTTCAGTAGTGTCTGCTGGTGCTGGAGGATAGAAAGGAACGCAAGGGAAAGAGAGAAAATGCCATTAAACTGCAGACAAATGCCTTTACAAGCGAAGTGCGCAAACAATCAAAAGCCCCGGGGCCCGGAGGCATGGTGAACCCGATGAGGCAATCAAGCGGTACATTCCCGACAAATCAAAGCGATAAGGCAATAACCAGCTTTAGATCTACCCATCAAAACTGAGCCACGGCTGAGCCGAGCAACCTGATCTTCACTTGTTGCCTAGAAGAACCGACAAACAAAAAATTGTTGCCCATACCTCTGCCACTTAACCATAACATCTCACGACTAAAGTTGGCAAATAGTCCAGTGGGCACCGGAGCAGCCTATCCGTAGGAAGGAAGGAGGGAGAGGGGATACTGCCTGACAATATTATATCGATAATAATCCTTGTATTTGACATAGTGTCTTTCACATCTTCGAGACGTGTCAAGGTGAGTGGGGGTAAATAAAGCACAGTCAACGAGAAATCTTTAGGTGGGTTTTATTTGAGCAGAGGAAGAGCGCGAGGCAGAGGGACTTCAGAAAAGAGATCTAGGATGGGGGCAATACTGGGACAATACTGAACGACGGTCACACAGCCCCCCCAGCACAGAAGAAGGCCATTTGGCCCATCGCGCCTGTACCAGCTCTTTGAAAAGAATTATCCAATCAGTCCCACTGCCCCGCTCTCTCCTCATAGCCCTGCAAACTTGTCCTCCCCAAATAATTATTTACTTCTCTCTTAAAAGTTGTCGTCGAAGCATGGCGCATTAGAACATTCGTCGCTAATTCATCTCACTCTGCAAAGCACTTTGAGACGATTCTTTCCACAATGTTTAAACTTTATGCACTCTAGCCATAAAGGTTTTTTGTTTGAAAAGAAACGTATTCATCTCCAAGTCATCATTTCTTTCTTTAAACCGATTTCAGAGAAGCAGTTTTTCCCTGGGCTCTTATATTCCCTCCTCAACCTCATCCACATTCACCTGCAAATTCCAATCAATTGGCTACTCAGCTCATTGTGGGCTGCTGCATTTGCCTCCGCAACATTTACTTCATTTCAACAATAACTTGCATTTATCCCTCATGCAGGATTGCGTCCGAGAGCGCTTGACAGTAGCGAGGCAAGATGCTGAGCCGGGGGTGGGGGTGTGTGTGTGACCGTAGGCACGGTCGAAGACGAAGGTCTTCAGGCACGACCTGAAGACGGGGAAGAAAGGGGCAAGGAGGAGGGATAGAGGGAGAGTGTTCCAGAGTTTCAGGACTAGTGGTTGAAAGCCCGGCTGCCAATGGTGGAAGGGAGGGCACGAGGGACTTGCAGGAGGCTGGAGGAGCCAGTCCAGCGGAGGCAGCAGGTAGTGGGTTTCTAATTAATCTCATTTTGTAAAGCACTTTGAGATGTTTCTTTGATGTTTCTGTGCATTCCTCGCTACAAGTTGGCAACTGAGAAACGATGACCGATAAAGATTCCTTTGGAATCTCACTGATCCAGTTCATTTGCAAAATGGTGGGAGTCAGTGAGATGCAACTGTTTAAAACAGAGAGGAAATGAAGCTTGAGGTTAATGAGGTCTACTGAAACCTGATACGGTTTTGATTTGATAGAACAGCCCACCAGATTTTTTTTGTGTGTTGGACCAGTGTCTTCTTTCAGCAGATATAATATCACATGATGGTAATATTGCTAAACACATGTCTATCCACTTAAGTCACAACTTTCATCTGCAGACATGACCCGAGCAGATTAATCAGCAATCTTGTGGTACAAGACCTTGAGCAACAACATCGCCGCTTTTTACAAGTTATCACTGTATTTGCAATGCCTAACCCTTGATGGTGTCGAAAGGCGATAATAATTGTTGCATCTGGTAGTGCCTGCACCATCGAAAAACTCAAAAGGCTCCTCAGGGGATTTACCATCAAATGTAGTAACTGTGCATTTATAACCAAACATGGCTGTCAATTTGCACACAGCAAGGACTCATAAACAACAACGAAATTATCTGGAGGTGGTTGCCCAGGACAGGACACCAAGAGAAACTCCCTTCTCTTTTCGAATAAATAATAATAATCCTTGCATTTGATTTAGCGCATTGTCACGTCTTCAAGTCGTCCCAAAGCGCTTCACAGAATATACTGTAAAGTGAATTGACTGTATTTTTGTGGGCAAACTAGTGCCACAGACAGTCTGGTCTCGGCACTGCACTGCACTGAACCGTCAGTCTGAAACATGAGCTCAAAAAGTACCAATAAGGTACTTTAACCCACAGGATCTTAACTCAGAAGCAAAAATGCCTTCGATGAGGCCAAGCTGTCACAAGGCTTAACTAACTGCATTCCACGTTCACCGTTTCTTCAGCAAGTAACGTTAGAGACACCTGGTTCTATTCAGGGAAGGAGGGAATAAAGGAAGATACCTTCAGCTTTGCTCCGAGCACACAACACGTACAGGCGTTTGCTCAAACCTGGCGGTTTCAGGGCAGCAATCTACAGCAACACGAGGAAAGCTAAATCCTGCACAGCTTGTCAGCCAAGGACTCTGATACTCTGGAGATGTGGATTATGCTAGGAATACATAAAATACAGATTTCCTTTTTTCAAACAAGATTATCAACTCCTCGTGCAATTTAAATGACTTGAATAATCAAATCAGGACGGGAGCTCATAAGCCAACGCCAGGAGGAACTCCCATCTGTTCTCCAATGGTGTTGTGAGATCTTTCAGGATTGAACCAGCAACTGATTATGCAAATGGGACTTTGGTTTCGCCCACAGAATATAGAGTCAATTGATCTGACAGTATATTCTGTGAAGCACTTTTGAGACGTCTCGAAGACGTGATAAGGCGCTATATCAAATGCACGGATTATTATAACTCATCCGAGATATTATAACAGTATATTTCATACAGTGCCGGCACCATGGAAACAATTCAAAAGGCTCCTCAGGGGAATTACCATCAAATTTAGTAACTGTACATTTGTAAGCAAACATGGCCATCAGTTTGCACACAGCAAGGCCTCATAAACGACAATTCAATTACCTGGAGATTGTTGCCCAGGACAGGACACCCGGAGAAAACGCCTTCTCATTTCAAATAAATTATAATCATAAGCGTTGCATTTGATATAGCAATACAGAATACTGTAAACTGATTTGACTGCATATTTTGTGGGCGAAACACAGCAGCAAATTGCGCACCGTAAACAGTCGTAGATTCTCATTCTTCCAGAAAATTCACCCGACCATCTTCCCTTTGCAGCATTAAACTACTCTGTTTCTTCATTGAATCCAAAGTCCTGGCCTCCACCACCCTCTCTGGTAAGATGGTCCAGCTGTTAATTCCCTTCCGTGCGAAGGAAATACTTGCTGGTATCTGTCTTAAAATTTGCCCTTCACAATCCCGAACCTCTCGTCCTGCCATATTTGAAAGTTTGGTCTAGATTTAGAAACTAATTTAGCTTCTCATACACTTCTATTCACCTTTCAAGATTGAAAAAGTGTTTCCCCCTCAAAATATAGTCACTTGGCAGCCCCCTCAAGATGTGGTGGCCAGTACTGTACACAGTAATCTAGGCGAGAACTGGCAATCGATAGAACCAAAAGTTTAGGAGTAGCCGAAGGCACAGTCGAAGAGAACATAAGAACATAAGAAATGCGAGACGAAAAAAAAGGCCCAGGTCCATCTACTTTGCCTTCCACCTTCCTGGTGGTTGCATGCACATATGTCCCGAACTACTTATGTGCTATATCCTATAATGTTATTTCCTAAAAGAAAACTATGTAATCTGTGTGAGAAAAAACTCAACATTTCCTGCTTCAACCGTCTCCCTCGGGAGCCTGTTCCACAGGTTCACTATTCGCTCACTGAAATAGTGTTTGCGTAGATTGGTTCTGAATTTACTCCCTTCAATCGCAGGCCGTGGCCTCTGATTTTCCTATTCTGGACAAATTGAAGCAGCCCGACATGATCTATATTGCTTTGCCCCTTTAGAATCATAAAGACAGCAATCTTATTGCCTCTCAATCTTCTCTTTCGCAGTGTGAACATGTCCAATTCACTTAGAGTCGCTCCTCATAGTCCAGTCCCTCCGTTCCCTCAATCATTTTGGTTGCCCTCCTCTGTATCTTCTCGATTTCTCCATTATCCTTTTTGTACTGTGGCGACCAGAACTGTACACAGTATCTAAGTATGGTCTCACCAATGATTTATACAGTGGAGGGACTACCCCACTATTTCGGCTGCTATTGATCTTTTGATACATCCCAACATCTGGTTTGCTTTACTCACTGACACAGAGCATTGTTGGGAGAGCTTCAGTTTATTGTCAATCAGGGCCCCCAGGTCCTTTTCATTTTTCATACATATTATTTTCCTTCTGTTCAAATAATAATCCCTTCCAGGAATTTTTGCCCCCACGTGAAGTACTTTACATTTCTCCACATTGAAATTCATCTGCCACCGATCTGTCCAATTCCCAAGTATGTTCAAATCCTCCTGTAACCTATCTGTTCAGCCTCACAATCTACCGCCTCCGTTAGCTTGGTGTCACCTGAAAAATTAGCCATGTGCTTACGATTCTAGTTCCAGATCATTCATAAAAATATTAAATGAAGGAAGTCACAAAACAGACCCTTGAGGAATTCCATTGGTAACATTTTTCCAGTCTGATGATATTCCCTGTACCACCACCCTCTGAGTTCTTCTGGTCAACCAATTGTGTATTCATTGTAATATACCTCCACTGATTCCCGCTTTCTTTACTTTCAGTACCAGCCACTCAAGAGGAACTATATCAAAGGCCTTACTGAAATCCAGATGTATATCACAGCCTTACCAGCTCCCTTGTCACACCGTCAAAAGAAAAACAGTAGATTGGCAAAACCTTCCCTTCATAAACCCATATTGGCTTTTATTTATGATTTTATTTCTGTCCAGATGCTCCATGATATTATCCTTAATAAGAGTTTCCATAATTTTACCCACAATGGACGTCAA